CCAATTATACAAACTCAGTAAATACTGAGATGTGCACGGAGCGAGATGGCAAAGCATCTCATAATGAATGCCACCAGATCCCAGGTGTTTGTCAGAACATCACCCCAGAGGGTATGTCAACAATTGAAATCATCCTGCAGGAGCACATGCTCTGGCAAGAAGTCCAGTAGGTGTTTAAGATCGGGAAGAGAAAGCGGGACATTTGGGGGGAGATAAATGAAACAAACCGTGTACCATTTATGCACAAAGACACTGGCAGCAGAACATTGGAGAGGCGATGGAAAAAGTAGGGGGACGAAGGGAACATCAGAACAAATCAAGAGAGCAGAAGAGTTATGGGCCTCAGACAATGTTTCTGCACTGTTCCTGTCAGTGCAGGAACAGTGCAAATGAGTACCCAGGGAAGAGAGCCATGAGCGCAGGCAGCTTGATGCGGAAAACAAACCAAGTCCACACAATAAGCCAGGAGTAAAACATGCACATGAAGCAAATACTAAAACATTAAGAACAAAACACAGCAAAAATGGCCCCCACAGGACTATATCCAGAGGGTGGCCGACACTTAGCTGAGAAGCAGAGGGACTAGCCACCATGCGAGGTGACCCAGGGAGCATAACTACACAGTGTAAGCAATGCTGCATCAGTGACAGAACTAAGGGTTGGAGCAAATGTGGGCTGAGGCTCTGAGCAGTCTGGTGATAGTTATCAGTACTAATGGTTTGTGTTCACAAGAGTGATTTGCTCATTTCTCCTGAAAGGTTTTGCAGTCGTTTGGTCATTCCAGTGATTTGTTTTCTATGAATGTAGCTGTTGTCTGTAAAGCTTCTCTGACTTTGTGGTTGCTTTCCCTGTGTTGTGGCAATAATAGTCCCTTTACCTCTGTAAGGGGACCAGCTTCTGGCTCTGGTCCCCCGTAGGCTAAACAGGGCTCTTGCGACTGATGAGACTTAGTAGTGGGAAACCATCTCAAGAAGGTGAACTCAGGTAGCCACCGAGGGGCTACCCCCTCCCCAAGAAAATAATGCTCTTATGGCTAAATATACAGTAACTATAAAGTACATGCAAGAGAAAAATGAAGAATGCCAGGAACAAATATGAAAGTGTAAGAGAATTATGGTGAGAATGAGTAAAACATTATATAAATAAGGAGGCCTTGCAGTATAGATAAGGATTGCTACTTAAGCACAAATGTGGTTATGTGCCTGGGTGGAGTTTATACAGTGTAAGAGTTCAGCATGTTCTTCAATAAAACCCAATCCCTGTTATTAATACTGAGAGACAATAGCCAAGTATGATGTAAAACAAATACTGTACTGCATAAATCTATATAATATATACAGACACCATGCCTCTTTCCAACCTTTGCCTGTTCAAACAGGTGGAAAAGAGGTTATGTTTCCCAGGCTCGCCATTGGAGGCACCACCAACCAAGTATATGATTTTTTAAGTTAACGCAGGCATCAAAACTTCATAATGCATTGAAAATACAGTGCAGTACTAACTTTTTGCCATCGCATCTGCTTAAAATACAGCGAAATGTATTAATGAAGGTTTCTGCTAGCACCAAGGACAAGATTAATTTTGGAGCAAAAGTTGAGTTATATATAATTAAGAAGAAAGGCATTTATAAGTAAACAAGACAACAACATTTTATCATTTAAGGGCTAACATAAGGTTTTTGTGTCTTATGTTCAAAGTGAAAGTAATAAAGCAATGCAGCATCTGTATAAAATGGGCAGCTAAGGCACTTTAAGAGATGTCATGGCATTAAGATTGTAAAAATACACAGGAAGTGTGAATTCAGTAAAGAATCTCAGCCTAACTCCTTTACAACAGCAAATTACTGCAGCCTACCACCTTGACTCTTGGTGAGTACCAGCCTACCCTTGTTACTCTTAACTAAAGTGTGAGAGCCAAAAGCCAGTGTTTATAGCTCAAAGCCAGGTTTGGATGTCATATATTTTTTTACTTAATTTAACTCTGTGTTGTACTTTAATAATGGATACTGTACAGTATATTTGATTAAAAACTAGTCCATGGATTAAGAGACTTGGGCATCATCTTGGAAGGGACAAGGGGAGGAGGAGGAAATGGAGGCATCTATTACTCATATTTCGTCACCAACAAACCTGCCTCGTATCCATTCACCAAACCCAGAAGCCAGCCCTCCCTCCCAAACCACCTGGCATGCCAAACCTGGAAAAGACCCACCCAGCCTGACCACCCATTTGCAGGACTATGGCAGGAGTCATGGACTGCAGAGTCATCTTGGAGGAGGAGGAGGAGGAATGGACTGCACAATCTTAAAGAATTCAAAAGAGGGGGATCTAGAAGGATCTAATAATACATCATGTATTGTCATAAATTTGGCCTAAACCAGCCAGCCTGCCTGGCAGTCATGCAATTTGCTAACTATTTGTCTACCCACCCAAACAGAAAGTCAGAAACCTGTCAATCAAAAAATCCATGCACATCCTCTTTCTGTCTCTCTATCTCAAAAAAAAAAAAAAAAAAAAAAAAAAAAAAAAATCATCATCCTGACCAACCACCTGCCAATGGTTGAAGCAACCACCCAAAACTTGAAGACTTGTGTCAGAGAACTGAACAAGTGGAATTCACTAAGAAGTGAGATCAAGGAGGCACACTCCACCCACTTTCAAAGATAGACATGATGCAAGCCCAGCAAGTTCAGGAACCCGCACTCTCACTCTTACCCTCGCTCCATCACACTATTTCTCTCTCTCTCTTTTTACACAGGTGAGTACAAAAGTAGACACCTGGCTCCCATTAGCAGGTCGAGAGCTTTCCCTTCCCATAGCACATGGTAAGCCTTACCCTACTAGTTTTCCCTGGAACATGACACACCAATCAATTTTACGCCTAAGGTTTCAATTACTGCTGGGTGAAAATTAGCAACTAGTTATGGATTAGTTCCCAGTCAGTCCTCCCTGGGTTTTGTCCCAGGATGCAGCATTCAGAAACTTAAATTACCAGGTATTTATTTAATGTTAGGCAAACAGAGGCATAAGATGAAAGAAAATGCTGCCAAATGTGTTTCTGCTCTGGCTGGGATTTGAACCCAGGACCTACTGCTGAGAATCGAGGTCATTTGCCGGTTGATAACATAGTCTGCCTGGCCAAACCCTCCCTCTCTGTTTCTCTAAATCTCTTAAAAGACATGAATGTTTAAAGTTCCAGCTTAACACTTTCGCCCGGGCATGACGCAGCATTGCGTCATCCGTTTACTGGCGGTAATACCGGGGAAGACACAGCATTGCGTCATCCACTTTAAATAATCGCCAAAAATCAGGTTTTTATCCGATTTTTTTGGGACTAGTTTTAAAATGTGCGCCGATGTCTTCCCATTTTCTTTGTCGAGCCTCGTGGCCCTCAGGTGGCTTGGCACACGCCGTGGGCCCATTGTTTTCGCTCCACTGTTGTGACCAATGTCGCCTCCCCTCGCATCTCAAACGTGTGAACATTTCGGCTGTTTTCCGTGGCTATATTTCTTACTGCGGCTTTAGAAACTATCTACCCTTACACCACGATGGATAGTGATCATGAACAAGGTCCTTCCAGGAAGAAAATTGCGAAAGAAAGGCTTGAAAAGGGAGGGAATTGGGAGTGTAGCTGGAAGGCGTCTGAGCGCTCACTCCCGGCTAACGCGTGGCCCGTCTTCAACTCGTCGGCGGTTGGAGCGTGACCAGGTTTTATATTTTATATGCTAATGTTCCTCTAGAGAATTCTATTGCAAACCCATTGAGACCAAAATGAAAGACCTAGGACAAAAATTGAGGTGACCAGAGTGAAAATAGTGAAAACATTTTATCGCGTTTGCGCGCTCCTGGGTAACTCGTTCACACTTTCTCTGTTTGCTGCGGGTAATTAGCTGGGCTTTTGGAGTTTATATGCATTTAGTGCTGTAGAGAATTCTATTGCGAACACAATGATACCAAATTTAATCTCGTAGGACGAGAATTAAGGTGACAAAGTTGAAAAGAGTATACACTTTTCAGAATTTACGCGCGCTCCCGTGACACCCTGGGTCCCATATCGCACTATTGAGGGGTGGCGTGCGGGGTGAGCGAAAGTGTTAAGATCTCAAAGGCATTGTCATACAGCTTATTAATAGGTTGAATCTTGGCTAATGGTGTGCCACTGCCATTATATTAATAGTATAAAGAAGAAGAAAAACTGTAAAACCATATTAATAAAGGAAAAATCAATAAAATAGTGATTAAATCAAGGTCTTAGCTGCCAATGAGTTGACAATGAGCAGTTCAACTGACAATTGTGTTGGCAAATGGAGTTGAAGACCAGGAAGGCTACCACTGTAACCGGCGGTTCCCACCGCCGGTTACAGTGGTAGGAGGAAGGCCATGGGGACACACTACTCTTAAGGGCACACCGTTTGTTACCAGTAACAGAAGACCAATGACCCCGGCAATGGGCAAAGATTGAGGAATGAATAATTGGGGAGAAGTTGGAATAAGGAACACCTTTACGAGAGATGGGACAGGTGCGGATGGCCTCCTTAGTGGCAGCGTCCACACACTCATTTGAGGACACACCAATATGACTGGGAACCATCGTATTGGTTGAGACAGTTGAGCAAAACTCAACTGTCTTAAACTTGCTGGAGATAAGAAACAGCCAATGTTTAATCTCAACTACCACACGATGGACTGGATTAAAGGACTCCAGAGCTATGAGGGCACTGCAAGAGTCAACTACAACAACAAATGAAGATTGACAGAGACAAAGCAGCTGATGAAGAGCATACAAAATAGCATAAAGTTCTGCTGTGAAGATGCTTGTCTCTGGAGGCAGGTGATACATATAGGTGTGGTCAGGAAAAACAACAGAGTGGCCTATACTATCTGCAGACTTAGACCCATCTGTGAAGATGGAAATGGAGTGGAAATGTGAAGAAAAATATACAAGGAAAAGGTGTTTCAGAACTGTAGGAGGGGTAAAAGCTTTAGTCACATGGGTCAAGGTTTTCAAAACTCAGGAAGGGGGACCCTCCATGGATCCCCCTTCATGGCTCAAAACTCCCCCCCCCCCCTCCCACTTACCAGGATGACCCCAGTCCCAGGATGACCCCAGTCTGTGGGCTCAAAAAACTACCCCACCCACCAGGATGTCCCCACTTAGTGGACTCAAAATCCTCCCCCCCCTCCATCCATCACCCAAATACTGTATATGTACACGTTGAACACGCATGAGCAATCACAACAAATATATATTGTATAAAATGACACATAAAATACAGTATGTATTTATGGATATGATGAGAGCATACATAAAACCCTCCTTTTAAGCACAGTAGTATAGTATACTGTCTATTACAGTATACTGTACTGTATAAAACAATATTCTGTCCAATTACATTATATTGTACAGTGCATTTTAATATACTGGACAGTATACTAGAGTACAGTACAATCTACTCTACCGTACAGAACACACACAGCTCAGTTCTACTAAATGTGCAATGTTGTATTAATAGTGTGTTATATCTTTAGTATATGCATCCAATTTACCAATTAACACAGATTATAGTTCAAGCATAAATAAAAAATAATTCTAATACACAAAGCCAAGGAAATACGCTCAAGAATATTGAGAATACATAACAGAGTAGAAAATTGGGTTCAATGATGTGCAGCACACACACACACACACACACACACACACACACACACGCTTAAACTCTTAATGCTACACAGCATTAAAGCTCACCACCACACGTATGTCACAAACAGATAAAGTGCAACACGCAGAAACATCACAATATTTCTCAACTGTACAGAAATGGTGCAAAATTCTACATACTGTAATACTATAACAACACTTAAATTTCTTTATCTGTGGATAAGAAGGATTTAAACAATATATTCTTTATATATTGATATCCTTTTTAAAGGGAAAAGTAATATTTTCAACAACTATAGAGCATTTAAAAAATAATACAGGATTTAATGTTTATACAGTAACTGGAATGATGCCTGAAGAACAGTAAACACTATGTAGAGAAAATAAAGCTTTGTTGTACAGCCAAAATATGATAAAATATATAAAAATACAAATATTATTTGTAAGAATAAAATACAGTAATAAAATCCTGAGAACAGCTTAACTAAAGAGGCAAGTCAATACTCTTTTAATTAATTAATAAATAGATATCGAGACAGTATGCACAATATTAATGTATCACCTCAAGCCTATGGCAGGACTGGTGTGTAACAAATGATAAATGCCTTTATCACACTATAACTTAATAAAATTTAAAAATATATATAAAATGTTATTTAATAATGATCTAGGCACTTCAGTGTATTGCATGTAATTACTGATTTACTATAGACCAAGAAGAAAATGAGTTACTGAAAAACTATCATTACACTTAGGTGCTTGCTAAATATATTATTATACACTCAACCCTAACTTTTTTTAGGTTTGATTTTCTCATATGCAAACTTTTGCCCTCTGTCCATCAAGCGACCATTACCTTCACTCTCTATTAATGTTTTCTTCCGTAAAAAATGGAAATGGTCGAGTGCAAAGTTGTAAAATTCATTTTCCAATCTCCAAACCTGAAATTGCAGTATACATTAGTTTGTTGTGATCATAACATAAATGGATATGAGAACAAATGAAGTCACAGATCTCACTTAACAAGACCACCTTAGAGAGTCCAGTTAACACTTTCGCTTGGCGACAACTCAGCACCGAGTCCTGTTAAATAGAGGGAAGTCCAGTAAGGACTCTGCATTGAGTCCTCCATTAAAATATTTGCCAAAAATCCGGGTTCAATCCGATTTTTGGGGGGACTGATTTTAAACTGTGAGCCGCCAGCTTCACCCATGCGGCACCCAGGCGGGTGCCTGGGTGGAGCTGGTAAGCAGTAATTCTGGGCTGATAAGCAGTAATTCTGGGCTGATAAGCAGTAATTCTGGGCTGATAAGCAGTAATTCTGGGCTGATAAGCAGTAATGCTTGCCCACCATCCACTCCACCTATAAAAAACATAGGTTGACCCTCCAGGAAACATTTTCCTGCTGCTGCAGGAGTGGATAAAACTAATGTTCCACCCATGTCATGCTCCACAAACAACATTGAATTGGTAAGTACAAAAAGTTTTATTTTTTTACATACAGTGGCACCTCGACATACAATTGCCCCTATTTACGATAATTTCTAGTTACGATGTAAATTTCATCGAAAAATGCGACTCAACATCTGATGGTGTCGTCGACTTCCGATGTATGTTGGTACACGTTCGGGTCGACCGAGCACGTGGTTCCCGATCATGCAGCTGACCTGCCTCAGTTTACCACAGCTGCCCGCTTAGTGACGATCGCGCCTATAAGAAATTCCGCTTTTGTGGCGATTTTTTGCATTTTGAACATTAAAGTAATTATTATATATCACGCCATGAGTCCCAGGAAAGTCGGTGGTAAGGCTCAACATATGAAAACCCATGTAAGGATGACCATAGAGCAGAAACAAGAGTACAGAATGTCTCTTCCTCAACAATTAAGAAAATGTGTGCAGCATGGGAAGAATTGCAAACCTTTGCTGAAACGACTCACCCAAATCAAGCTGCAGTAGGCTGTTGCCTTAACCTATTCAATGACACTGTGATGCATCATTACAGACAAATGTTAAAACGAAGGGAAAAACAAATGTCTCTTGACAAATTTGTAGCGAGACAAACAAGCACTGAACCACAACCAGGTCCTAGTGGTATTCAGGCAAAACATAGGAGAGAGAGTACCCCAGAGAAAACATCACTGCCTGATGTGATAATGGAAGGGGACTTCCCTTCCAAACAGTAACAACTCTCCTCCTCCCCTCTCATCACCATCTTCCATACGCCATCAAGAGCCCTCTATAAAGGTAGGAGAATCTTTGGTACTGTATTATAGTTAGAAAAAAACATTGTATTCAGTATAAAATGTATTTGTATGTTAATATTTTGGAGGGTGGGGAACGGATTAATTCAATTCCCTTTATTTCTTATGGGAAAAATCGCTTCGACTTACGATATTTCGACTTATGATCTGTCTCTGGGAACGGATTAGCATCGTAAGTCGAGGCCCCATTGTAGTTTATACTTTATTGTATTGTATTTGCAAGATTGTTCTTCAATTTGCCCTTATATGCATGTATCCATCTAAAGCATTTTATTAGAAAAAATTTCATACCAAAAAGAGCGCTGTTAACACGAAAATTGATGTTAGCAACTGGAAAATATACTAAACATTTGTGGGTGAGAATAGAGATGGGCTTCTGGGCACTCCCTCGTGGGTAACACTTGGCCCGTCTTCAACTTGTTGGCGGGTGGAGCGTGACCAGGTTTTTTATTTTATATGCATATACTCCTCTAGAGAATTCTATTGCAAACTCATTGATACCAAAATAAAAGACCTAGGGCAAAGATTGAGGTGACCAAAGTGAAAAGAGTACACATTTTATCGCTCTTGCGCGCTCCCGGATCATTCACTCGCACTTTCTCTGTTTGTTGTGGGTGGTAAGCCGGGCTTTTGGAATTTATATGCATTTACTCCTCTAGAGAATTCTATTGCGAACACATTGATACCAAATTGAATATCTTAGGACGAGAATTGAGGTGACTAAGTTGAAGAGTATACATTTTTCAGAATTACCGCGCACTCCCATGGAATGCCCAAACCCACCCGGGGTAGTGGGGAGGTCGTGCACCCAGCGCGCAAAAGTGTTAACATCAAACTAAGACCATAATAGGATAAAAATGGCACCCAAAATATAGTATGCAAATTGAGGATACAAAATGTGTAGGCATTATGTGCCTGTTGGAAAATAACACAGATGGATTATACTATACCATAAAAACATGCAAAAAATCACAGGCTGTGATGAACCTAACTGTAAATCTTGGGAGTTGTTAATTAATGCATAAAACTTTAACCCCCAGTACTGCACATACCAAGATGATAACATAATACAGGTTTACGGGTGGTGCGTCTACCTAGAAAACTCGACTATAGGTATAGGGAATTATTCAAAACTCCTGCGGGTACAGAGGGCTCACATCCTGTTGCTCAGGACTCCAGTAAACAGATGGCATCTTGAAAAAAAAAAATCAGCATCGCTCCTGGCTGTGAGCATCGGTACTGCCAGAGTACCGATGCTGGCAGTGTCAGCCTCACCTCAGTACACTGAGGCTGGCACATGCAGCATGAACTCTCAGCACAGCTGTGTAGGTTGGGACCACAGCACCACTTAATAATGATGAATAAAATAAGTAACTGCAATTATTTTTTGATAATAGTGTCATAGATGATACTGATTGTATTAAAAACTATGAACAAGGTTCAGATATCAGTGAACACAATGCTAGTTATGATGTTGACAGCAGCAGGCCGACATTCACAACACACACAAATGGTTTTGTGCATCTACACGTCGTGGAACATGACCTTATATTCCTTTTGAAAATAACTTAGTGGAAAACTATATTCGTGATTTAGTGACAGGAATATGATAATAATATCAGTGCTGTAACTAGATTTAGTGATATGCATAGTATACTGTAGACATTTTGTTGCAACTCCTGGCATTGTCTAGTTGTAGCATGTGGCCCTTTACTGTATTAAGATTTCATTACACACCCACCAGAATTACCTAGTGGTTAATTATGGTTTACAAAACTATAGATAGCTATATATGATGTGTGTGTATATAGTGTAATAATAGCAAAAACTATGTTTTATTGCTTAAAGAATTTAAGATTCTGTACATATTAGTGACAAATAAATGTGTGCGTACCTACAATCTACACGTTCTGTGATACAAATAACATTATCGATAGCCCAATGCATCATCGCACTGGAAAACATATTAATATCAATAATAATACGAGGAAAATAAAATAGGTTCATTGTGTGTACTAAAACTTTGTGCAAGAAGTGACGTGGTGCTAGGCTGACCATGGATCATGACTACTAGATTATAACTGTCACAGTTCAGCTTAGTGGTTTGTTATGGTGCACAAATATGTAAATAGTTATATATAGCATCTGTATATAGTGTAATAACAACAAAAACACTGTTTTATTGTTCTAAGAATATAATGTGTCACTAATATGGCACCTTATTTTTTATTTATATTTTTTATTTATAGTGTTTGTGGAAATAAAAATTATGATGGTTGTGGTACAAAAATTGGACTTTCCCTGTAAGAATTCTGCTTATCCAAATGGCTGGCTTATCTGGCAGTGGCTCCTTCCTGTATAATTCGGATAAGTGAGCTTAGGCAGTAATTGAAAGCAAAAAAATTAAGGGGAAGAATTTTTTTTGCACACACCATGAGGTTGTCATACTAACGTGCAGTACATGGGTTAAAGAACTTTAGTGACAAGTAGAAAAATAGTTTACTGTGGAGAATGGAATATTTATTTTACCTTAGTATTTTGAAGTTTTCCTATCGTTTCATCAGAAGGCAGAATTTTTTTAACAGTTTTTCTTAGATGAGATTTGGAACCTGTAGAGAACAAAAAGTCTGATATTGACAATTTTACTGCCATAATTAGTACAGCACTTATTGGAAAAGATTTAGCCTACAGTAATTATGTAAAGTTCATACCATGAGTCTTGGGACAAAAATGTTTGTACAGCATCTTATAAATAATTTGCATTTAATTGCTGTGATCAGTCACACCATGTGCTCAAGAGCAACTAATGGAGCACAATATATGTAATGAATCATTAAGCAAAGTAATATGTACTAGATTTTTTGCTTGGGTAACCTTTTTTATTTTCCTATATAATTAGTAAACAGTTTAGCAGATGGTAAAACACTATGTTGCTCAGGTGAACTCACGTCTAAACAATTATGATATCTCTGGTTATAGAATTCTAAATATTCAAATAATTTACAAAAACTTGGAAAATGTTATTTCTTGCTCGCTCCATTATGCAAATTCTCACTCTTGCAGTGGTCACTGGTCTTCTCATCTAAAATGTAGCAGGGATCTTTTCAAGCATTCCTGCTTGGTCATACATGGGGAGAGGAAAATTCTTAATCCAGCCCTGAATGTCCCCAGAAAATACAGTACACTCGCTCACACTTTAATAACCTCGACCAAGTAACACTTTGTTTTCTAGAAATGGCCAAGTATTGCTCCTTGCTACTTTGCTGACATGTGATGGTGGTCTAGGGTAGTGGCCAGGTGGCCAACTAACGATAGCAATAGTTGATCAATGCTTGGCTGTCTCTTTGAGGCAGAGTATTTTTGGAGATTTATTCAGTGTAAATAAATGAACCTTCTAGAGACCATTCCAAGCTGGATAGAGAAATCTAATGCCTCTCTTTCCTTGTTAATGGCCTGACATGAGTGTGTGAGATAATCTCCAGTATATAAGGTGACGACAGTCAGACTGTCCTGGCTGTTGTTTGTTCATGTCCTTCAAAGAGCAGGACATTGTTCAAGACAGCAACTGAATAACCTGTTCAGAGAGGAGCCTTTCACTTTCACTCAATCCATTATTTTGTATATACTGTACAGTACAGTACTGTACTATAATAAATTCTTGGTACTTGAATGCTTTTTATTTTTCCCATATGATCTTTATCAAAATACAATATTGTCCAGTTTAGAGAGAAATCTCAAGGAACAACTCCAGAAAGAGAATTGGGAGGTATATTATTAATTAGGAGAGAAAGCAAGTGCCAAGTAAATATGAGAGCCCATCTGGACACATACAGTATTACATTCTCCCATTAAGCAAAGCAATCACTTCATACTAATATCCACAAAATATACTCCCTTTCTCTAACCATCTAAAGACGGTATCCCTCTTAATAACTATAGTACCAGTACACATACATAAGGAGCACATAAAATATAATATTTGGGTGTATAAATAACATTAATTTTCAATTAGGTTTGAAAATTCAATTTTACTAAACACATTCAAACTCTAGTTATCATAACTCGCAACTTTCCCTAGATTTGAATTATTAAGATCCAAGAATCATGAACTATACTGTATCCCTTTAAAATACCTTCAGTTATACTTACCAGAAAGATAGAGGTCATAAGCACCTCTAAAAAATCGTGGGAGAGAGTATTCAAGCATAGCTACAAAATCAGCCATTTCCTCGGTAACCCCAACCAGAAAGTAACTATGGAGCAGATTGTGCTTTGCTTGATCAAGAGCCCAGCTAGATCCTGGAACCCTGAGAAAACCATTGTAAATTATTGCTTCAAAGAAACTACAGTATGTCAAATTATTATCACAGAATACATGCTTTGGCTTTGAAGTGTGTGATAGAACAGTGTTTAGTATAATGATTCACTCCTCTCTCAGCTGTGCCTCAGTTACTGACATAAGCCATACAGTTAGTCTACCTAGTTCATTGCTAGTGCACCAGGACCCAAGCAATTTTGAGCCCCACTGAGGCAAGAAACTTTTCATATAGTTTTATCCTAATGTTTAAGGGTGAAGAGCACAGTACTCAATACCCCCACCAAGAACAACTACTCACTATCACACCAAAGAACACATCAAACCACTCAATTCCCCCTTTTACTAACCAGTATTTAGCAGAGATAACTGCTTTCAATCATGATTACAATAATTCCATGTAGTGAGTGTTCAACATGATTGCTCTGCCTGTAGCAAGTATATTATGTCAATAATACACTTGCTCCATATTCTCATTAGCTTATTTGCAGATAATGAGACGGGTCTGTTAATTCTCCTTAGTCCACTAATTACAATTGATTCCTCTTCACCAATTATAGTTAATACTTCTTCCCAACATCCTAGAGGATGGTCAGATGAGGTGTAGGACTGGTAATATAAGCAATCAATAGCGAATCATCATCATTCTAACTCCAAGAGTGATTCAGTACAGATGCTTAAGAGATACCGCACATCTTCAACATTCACCAATAACAATGTAACACTCGACGTGTCCGGTTTCCACACTCACAAGATGCTTCAGCCTCAACACAGAGGAGACAGCCAGACTCCAGCCACATCGAGCTTCCACGCTCTCATCCCTCACTCTGCTCCTCAACTCCGCCTGCATTCAGAGCGCCACGCTCTACACACTCACCCCACATCCAACCTGCTTTGTATCCCCTGCCTCACTCAGCTCTCTACCCTGCTCCAGGCTTCGTCTCAACTACAACAACCCTTCACTACGTTTCTAAAACAAGTGACTGCTGTAACCAAGACTATACTAAATTTAAATAAATATAAAAAACCACTATATTCTGTGTGTCTAATCAACCAAACACGTACACATAATCATTACGTTACATGCCCTTTTGTTTATAGAGAGTGGTCACTCAGTCACCAAGATAGATTCCCCACCATCTTCACACTATGTAAAAGGATATTTGCCATGTTACTTGCCATGGTGGGAAGGAGGTCAACTACAGCCTGACGTGTCAACAGTACCCTGGGTAATCTGCCATTAGCTGGGGATGCAACTGAGGGACTGGTTTGGATAGGAGTCTTTTTATTTCATTCACAGTCTTTTTTTTTTTAATAATGTTGTGTAATTATTGAAAGTTACTGAATACTCAATACTCAAGTTATTGTCTGTAAAAAAAAAAAAAAAATAATTTTAGCTGCAAAACTGCCAAAAATTATACATGTAAAAAATATAAAAATGTATTTACAGTAGAAGAAAATCCTTTATATACTGCTGAAGTAATTACTGTATTGTACTTTGGATAGTCACTAACTAGACTATTTACCAAAATTAATATTTTTTTATGGCTGAATAGTAAAATTATTTGGCAAAGCACTCAAGAAAAACTTACCAGCATTCAGCATGATGACCACAAAAGAAAGGAACTTGCACCCAAAGGTGGGTTGTAGAGCAATCTGGATGTTCAATGGCAACACACTCATCCAAAGTCTAAAAGTGATGAGATGTGTGTTAGTAGCTTACTGTATAATATTGATATGCATTTCATTACAGTGCAAATTATATTTCTCTGAGAAGGTCTGCTCTACCTAAACTGATGAAGTCGTGACAATTTACATTTTAGAAATGTTGCCAATTGATAAACAAATATATTTGGTTGTGTCAGTTATGTATACATTGAAATTAAAGTGAATTGCATAAATGATGATTTGTTGAAATCTTTTATCATCATCACATCTTCACAATCGACTTGAGAATGGTCCTGGACGGACCGAAACGTTGTCGTCCCTTCAACTTCTAGTGTGTGGTCTGGTCAAAAATCACATCTTCTTAACCTCCTGAAGAGGCTTCATATACATGTTGAAGTTGCTTCAGTCTGTCCTAGGTGCAGCATGGGTGTGCAAACATAAAAGCTTTGGGAAGTAAACTGGGAATCCTACGACAGCCTTAATTCCCAAGCACTGCTAACTCTCAGACATGGAATGGTATATCAAGGGTAAGACAAACAAATAAAAATAAAATAAGATTTTACACCCTCATCCTCTGCACAGACCAAATGAATTCATGAATGTTTGGGTCACTACCTCTAATTTGAATTACCTTCCCTAAATAACACAATTAATTCTAATTGTGTTTAATTAATTACACACATGACAACAAAGCATGGCTCATATATATCATGCTCCACAAAGTGGATGAATGAGACATACCATTCAATGAATTTCAACTACTGCATTATACACTAAGCCCTAAATAAAGCACAAGGTCACCTATTCATGTGATGATTACATTACTTATGACATTAAAACCTATAAACATAAGAGGTAGGAGTCATCAGTTATTAAAGTTAGCTATACCATTTGCCTCAATGATGCTGGCTGGCAATGTATTTCACTCATCTACCATTTTGCTGCCAAACCCAAATTCTCTACTGTATATCCTTCCTGATTCTTAATTTTCAGCTTATAGCCATTGTTACTGGTTTTGACCTGGTCAGAGTGTTTCAAGACCTTGCTCATATCTCCCCATAGATACCCTTTATCCACGTGAAGACCTGGATCATTTTTCTCCTCACCCTGTGCATTTACAGGAAATGCACGCCGAGCTCCCTTAACCTCAACTTATATAAACACCATGATCAGTCTGGTCATCCTTTGGTTGGATTTTTCAAGGGAATCAATATCCACTCTATAATATGGTGACTAGAATTGGACAGCATAGTTTAAGTAAGGCTTCACCACGGCTAAATATAATTGGACGACAATGTTTGTTCATTTATTGCTTCTGCTTCTGCTTATAAACCAACCACTTTATTTATTATGTTATGTATGTTGAAGCACTGCTGCTTAATTTAAGAACATAAAAATAAAGAAAACTACAGAAGGTCTATTGAGCCAGGCAATGCAGTTCCTATTTATACCCAAGAAAATTCATTCATACGTATATCTAACCTGCTTCTGAAAGAATCCTATGCCACGGTCTGAAGTCACTACCAATCATACTGGTCAAATCTCTACTGAAATTAGATTTGCCTGCAGCTGCTTCTTCCACTTGTCAGATCAGTTCTACAATGCCTGAAGTTTTTCACGAGTTCTGCCAAGTCATCATTCGAGTTTCGTATTTACTCTACTTAAAAGTTACCCATTTTCCACAAATACTGGGAAGGGGAGGGGAAGGGAGAATTCTAGATTAACACCCTTCTCTAAAATCTAGACAACACCTGTGGGTGAAATTGTCTAAAAGATTAATCAATGGGTGTGGCATCCATGAAACTGAGAGTTGGAATATGGTGCAGTTCTCTGGGAGGGAAAAAGAAAGGAATCTTTCTTTGATAATCCTGATCCAGGATTAACACCTAGTGCATGGGGGTGGCACATGCTTTGGAAATGTGAGGCACTAATGCAAAAGTCTAGGACAGCTTCAGAATTAGACAGAGATACGAAAGGGATCTCAATCATATGTTGCATTTTGAAGTAGTTGTGGTGGAAATAAATGGATGTCTAAGGCCATTGGTAAAATTGCAGACTAAACATATATTGCAAAGTAAATGCAATATAACTGACATCTTGGAATGCTACTATTGAACAAAATAAAATGTATGCATGGGATTGGGTGCACATATGTAGGAAAGGGAGTGATACTTTTGCCTTTTCATTAGAAACTGCCTTTGGTAGAGTTTGTTGGGATTTGAGCTGTTAGAAGTTAAAGGTATGGGAACGTATCTGGGAAAAGATAGAGAAAGTATGCTCCCTACATAATGTACATATTAACCTTATCTTAAATGATGAACTTCACAGAGGCAATTACTTACCATCTTATCTCCCATTCTTCTTCGAACATGATATGGTCGAAGATCATCACCATAGCGGACAAAATAATAGTACGATATAAGACGCTCCAATGGCTTTCGCAATATGTTAATATAGATTGGCTGTTGATTAACACCAAACCTATATAAGAAAAATATTAGTAGTAGTAAATGAAAGCTGCATTAAATATTAAGAATACATTGCACATTGTTTTTAATTACAGTATACTGAACATTATAAATGCTACTGAATTTTCAGAAGATTTATGTGAAAATTTTTAAAGCTAACATTATTTATGGAGTCAAATGATTTTAATTGGTGACTATTCTACTTCTGCATCACAACAGAAGAAGTTGTGATGCAGATCCTTACTTACAGATTTTATGATCTCAGTACAGATCTTAACCAAAGAAATCAATGCATAAATGTTTGAAATAAGGCAAATAGAATATGTACTGTACTGGGATTCACATGAATTAGTGTATTAGTAATAACACATCTAGTGTTATTCTTCACATTTATCATAATTTGATTAGTTCCCATTTAAATTATACAGTTCATTTTTAAGCACTATACAGTACTAAATAATGGACATAAATTCCCCCCAAAATGTGTGCAATTTTGAAAATCTGAAGGATGAAAAAGTTAACCCCAGACATTACAAACCTCCCTTATTATGAGTGATTAGAAATCCTTATTTAAATTATCTAGAAAGGCAGAGAATTAAAGGGAACAAAATAAAACATGAAACAATAGATTAAAATTAGGTAAGTCTATATTCAGAAAAAAAAAATGGTAAATAATTTACAGTAATTGTAAATAGAGTTGTAGTGTTATGGAAGATGTTGCTTTGTAACAAAATAGGCAAGAAGTAGCATTATTGCTTCAAGCACAGGATAGACAGGTATATGAATGGGTGAATTTGGATATAAATAGGGCAAATAAGCCCTCTCTGCAGTTTCTTCTATTCTCATGCTATGATCATGTGATGGAACATTGGGAGAAGGAGACAGGTAGGTAAACTGGCACGTTGAAAGATCACTACCTGGTCCTCGTCAAGCCAAGTAGGGTATTTGAATACACTTTCTGTGGTCATACACTTTCTTGCCTGGACTGATCACCAGTATGACCTGACAAGGGCATTTGATAAGGTTTTTGTTGCACCAGAGCAGTCTCTCTCTCTCTCACCCTGATTATCGTACTCAATGGCACCAGCAATAACCTTGCTTTACGGAGCATATCCATTCAATTGTCTTGCTCAGAAAGGAGCTTTTATATTCACTCAAAGCTTGATCTGTCTATGTAATATTTGCATAGGCATTTTCTGTAATTTGTATTTTTAAAACCACATTAATTGTAGCATTAAAAAATAGCAAAACTGTAAGGCTCTGGAAACAGCTGATGCAGTCAAGCAAGGCATCACTTTATTTTGCTACATGATTAATTAGTACATTTTGCCAAGTTAATCTGTTTTGTTAAGGTCAGCAGACAAAATTTAAAAAAAATATAAGCCTTTTTGTTATTTACATCAGAAGCAAAGTAAATAATAAATTGGAGAGTTAATATCATGTGTATTGCCACCACCTGATAAATAAATCCTCATGAAGAAGACAATCATAGCAAAATGGGGGAATTCTTACCTGTTAAAATCGAGGTAAGCAAGATGTCCATGATAAATTCCAGGTTTTTTTTCCACCCAGTTCGATACATTGTACACAAAACGCATCTGTAACATGGTTAATAACTGCTGGATAAAGCATGTGTTTTACTTTATTTAAATTAACCCTTACTATCCACAAATAAAAACCATCTGCACAGTATATTACATTATCTCACTTAATACAGTACTGTATATGGTATATATATTCTAATATCTGTAAACCAACACTTGATAAACTATCATAAACTTAAGTGTAAGATGTCTGAATACTGAATTAAGATAAGAGATAATAAAAATACTTGAAGTAGATAGGGTACGTGAACATGATAATGCAAGAATTCAAATTACTGTACAGTACTGTATATGTACTTTTAAAAGAAGTACAGTATTAGACAGATTCAGAAAAATACTGTACATATGTAAGAATAATAAAGAAAAAATGCTTGACAAAAATAAAGTGAAACAGTAGTTGAAAACAAGAAAAATGAATAGAGGTGTGTACAATACTGACATTTATACAAGCTCAGGTTTGGTGACAATTCGTATTCAACAAGTAGGGTAAAGCCTTATACAGTGCAGTACTGTACAGGTCAATAAATCAAGCGGATACTTTACTAATGTATCAGTATTGGCCAAAATATTGATATTAGTACACTGCAAGAAATGAAAGTTGTAGATAATGAGAATAAACATGCATGAATGGACTGGTGATGGTTGCAGGGACTGCTTGAAAGTGCCCTGGGGTGCTGGTGCCAGTATGTCTTCCTACCCAACTGTGCATGATCCTTTCCAATGGAATCTGCCTAGGTTGGACCAACAGGCCTGTTGCAGTGCTGTCTGATTCATATGGTGTTGCAAATACTGTACAGCAAATCTTACCCCTAGGAAGCACCTGAATAACTATGCTCAAGAAGGTACTTTACATATACAATCAAAGCTTATTTTCTTTAATATGTTGTCAAAGAACGAAATACTAATACAGAACGCATTTTCTTATTTTCACTAATACACAAGACAAATATTTCAGTGCATGCTAATTGTGATATGGTTCTCACCTGATCTGTTAGAGAAAGAGTCGGGGTGTTCTTGGTTGTGTTCATATGAATTACATTAAATTTATTTTTAGAGCAGAGATCATATGCCAACCCAATGAATGATGTAGACCCAGTCTTTGGGACTCTATTGTATATTATCACTAAGCTGTCTGGGTCAAGAGTTCTGCTTCCTGATGATGGAGTACCTTCCTGGTAACTCAAGGGAGCTGGAAAAAATAATCCTATACAGTCATTACCGTTACCAAAGCAATCTGCTACAGAAAACAAAGCATTCTCCAATAAATTAATATTATTAGATTTTTCTCTATATATTATTTATACAAAATTACAGTAAACATAAGTACAGTACCTAATTATATCAAAACTTACCCTATAAATTGTGTGGTAAACTCAAGAACAGGAATTATTTTGAATTTCAAGAAATTTTGACTTCAGGATCTGTCATTAAATACTGTACAAGTACTGAATAACATAATTTTCAACACTAACCATACATTACTCCTGTATCATATTAAATGTGTTTTTGTAAGCAATATTGAACATACAAGAAATTACTACTGTCTCAAACAACCAATGTGTTACTACATATTTACTAGTACTGTATGTCATAAAAGGTTAAAATGCTAGTATTCTTCCTTTTATTTCCATACATCTGTGAGTTATTTAAGCTCACCGAAATTAAGTTTATCCACAGAAAATTGATACAGTATTCAATGGATTTAAAATTAATTATTTTATTTTACTTCCAGAAACAGAAAATTTACATATACGAAATATTGTAATCCAAAAATATTAAAATTCTAAAAGTGGGTGTAGTAATTAAATAATAAAAATACTATCTAGATATATAATCTAATCTAAAATAAAATCAAGGCCCTGTAACTTTAGTTATTTTGTAAGAATAATCATTAAACTGCAATAAAGCTTCTGTACAAAATCAAAAATATTATACAATACAACAACTTACAATGGGAGTGCATGGTGTTTCGGAGATGTGCCACTTCTGTGGCCAAGTGGAGGTACAAAAGCATTACCACTGCACTCACACCCACCATCAACAGCACAACCACACGTGAACTCTTCATTCGAGAGCTGTTCATGCTGAGAAGCAAGTAACATCTTCATGACCAGTGGTTCTCATCAGAAACAGAGCATATATTATATTAGATATTATTTATCCAAATACTTGTGGGCATTTTATGCAATTCCTTATTTACAGTTAAATATTGTCAAGCATTTATAAAACAAATTGTAGTATTTAAAATTTAAGTTTCATCTGTTTTGTTAGTGTTTATCAATGAGCCCAATCTTTATTTTTATGTCTGTGTTAAACTGTTAATGCCCCTGATATAATAAAGGTTTGGAAATTTGTAATTTACATTTTAATTTATATTAATACAGTATGTCAATTATTGCAACATGGCCTTAATAATTACTCTTTGCTTAAAGTGAGACAGTACAGCACTTAAATATCAAGAGGACACTTTAACATCATGGCACTGGCAGTCAAGTATTCATACTAAGATTAAATCACTGTTACTGGGTCATTCCATGCAAACTCATCACAGCTCCCAAGCCAATCATCTCAGATTTACATGAAATTTAGTAGGATGTTACAGTACATGAAGTAACTTGTATACTGTATATACATATACAAAATTTTAGTTCTCAGTAATGTACAATATTCATTCAGCAGGGGTTGTTAATGTGATAAAACAAATTTTTACTAGCACGCTCAACAAAAAAAATCATTGTTTTCATTAAAAATTGTTTTACATTAAATATTAATTTTTTTCGTTTCAAGATCAACACGATGTGACCTCTGACCTTGAATACAACACAGTATAATCCTGGACCATTATAAAGTTACGTAACAGCGACTTGATTATTACACGACGTAATAATGGTCCAGGACAGACTGAAACATCGTCATTTCTCCATTTTCTGATGTGTGGTTCATACCCAACTTTTTTATGTCAGGACGTGGGCATCAACCTCATTAATAGAACTGGGTCCTTTTTCCAATGCAAGTTTTTCCCCAGATCATGGTTGCAAATTGTTTTACAAAGTTTAAACTTATTGCTGGGTGCACTTAGGTAAATAAAAGTTAAGAACACCACCCAATCATCCCACCAAGAATAGAGTTAAAATCCTAAGTTGCTTGTGAGGTGGGGGTGCTAACACACCACAGTAGGTCCACTTTACAGGTCCAAACTATAACAATTATCACGTTAAACTAATTTAACCCTTTTCTGGTTATATTTAATATAAATATTTGTTCACAGTTCTGTGAAACACCGTCTACAACAAACAGCTCATTTAGCGAAGGTTACTGTATCACTGTACGGGACGTAGCCTTCAGAAAGTACAGACACACGATAAAGCTCTACTGTGGCGCTACACACATTTAAATGACGTCCATGTCAATTTTATCCATTAGTAATTCATTTGAATCCAAATTAACCTGACAGGAAACGATCTTCCAAGAGAGAGAGTCAATAAATAATGATGTGTTTCCTGTGAATGTGAGAGACCTGATCATCTGGACCAGCTTAGCCTCACACGCATGTATAATGAGACGCCATTAAGGTGGACACACACAGTTAACTGGATTAAAACATCTGAGTGGACTCCTTACCTAGGATAATACGGCTGCAGACCGCAAATTAGCAATAAACAGGTCCTGGGGATTGCCCAACCTTCTCTCAAAACATTGCGACATTTGGCAAGAAGCGAGTCGGGGCGGCTACATTCCTGATCCGACTGAGAGCCCTCACCTCCCCCCCCCCAAGTCACTCCATCCCTCAGCCCCCACTCCCTCTCTCTGAACTGTGAGGTTCAGTCCCTGAGCCCATTATGTGCCTCTGTAACCCTTTCCACTACCGCCCACAAGATGGGTATGGGGTGCATAATAAATGAACTAAACTAAACTAACTCCCTCTCTCTAACCCTTTCCCTCTCGTAATTTAAAGAATACAGAGGTTTGCAATAAGATTGGCATCAGAGCTAAGCGGGGTTACGCTATAAGGATAGGCTAATGTAAGTACATCTCACAACCATTGTGATGATTTTTGTTATTATTTATATATACAAGAGTTCTTACATTCTTGTAAAACCACTAGCACGCATAGTGTTTCGGGCAAGTCCTTAATCCTAATATTCCCCGGAATGCGACCCGCCAAATCGTTTTAACAACCCATTCACTACTGGGTGAACAGAGGCTATAGCTAAGGATTGGCGCCCAGTCAATCTTCCCCGGTCATGATACAAATCCAGGCCAAAGGGTTAGCTTACCATTGCGCCACGGGCACTGCTGTGATCATAGCATACAAAATACTTTAAATTAAGAAAAAGTAGGACGAGAGGCCATAAAAGGAAGCTGGAAACACAAATAAATCGAAAAAATGTAAGGAAATATTTGTACTCTGTACGGATGATGACCAAGTAGAATTATTTAAAGTTGTGGGAGCCACCTCTATCCACAATTTTAAGGCCCAATTTCACAAAGAACTCGATCATCAGAGTAATTAAACAATAACGTAACGGGCACAATTAACAAGACTTGTAGGTGGGTCATAAAGAGTTAGACCTCACTTCCTCGTAGTCACTGATTTAAGTATAATAAGTACTGGTAGGTAAATACAAGTCCTATGTCCCTCCCACTAGCCTTCTTAATAATAATAATAATAATTCTTCCTTACTACCTCCCTCCAGCCCTCATTTACCTACTAATATAGCTCTCTATACCTGAGCTCACTTCTTCCAGTCCTTGACCTACCTTCAGTTCTCTTCCTTCGTCAACTCTACACCACTCTCTCCCTCTCCGCATGTTCTCCCTCCCTCTAGCCATCTCTCTCTCACACTTCTTGCATCCAAACCTATTTCTCCTTCCCTCCATACATAGCCCTCCCCCTACCTCTAGCCTTGAATCCTTTCTCAAAGACTTTCCCTCTCTTCCTTCATCTCCTTTTTACTCACCTCCAGTCCTTTCCCTCCCTCTCCTATGAAGCCCTTCAGCCCTCACTCCCTCTCCCTATTTCCAGCCCTCTCCTTTCCAACTTCCAGTTCTCGATCGTTCCATTACTCCCTTTATACCCCCCTCCCCCCTCCCTCAGGCTCAGCCTATATGAGTTTTCCCTGGAACCCTTTCCCTGGGTTTTCACTCAGTTTTCACCCAATAATTGTTGGGTGAATAGTTAACGATTTATTTACTGCATTTTACATGCGGGCCACTAACACTCTAGTGGCCTCGATGAGGACACGAAGCCAGCAGCTTGTCAAAGGTTCTCCCATTTGTCCTGGTGATTTTTTCAAGCCGAATTGTAAAGTTCTGCAGAATTTTGGCATTTATGGTTTCAGCGGGTAGGCAGTTCCATGGGTTTATAACCCTGTGGGTGAAAAGGCATCTTCAGTTTTCTGTCCTATGTTGAGGCTTGTTGATCTTGAAACCATTACTTCTTGTATGCGTTACATCTGATTTTTTGAAGACGTTGTCCAGGTTAACATCCTCCAAACTGTTCAGTATTTTGAACGTTTTGATGAGATCTGCCTATCATTTACCTGAGGGCCACTAACATTTGTGGCCGCGACGAGGGCAGGAGGCCGGCGGCTTGTCAAACGTCCCCCATTTGCCTTGATCTTTTTCTGGTCTCATGTCCGGTTTGCAGTGTTGTTAGTCCTTTGTCCCTCAACCTGTCCTGGTACGAGTGTTGACTTAGATTTGGAATTATTTTGTTTCCCGGTGTTGAACTTTCTCCAATGAAGCTGTGTCTTTCTGAAGATGAGGTCTCCATTCCTGGATGCGATAGTCCGGGTTGGGGTGTACTAGAGATTTATACAGTCGAATGACTACCTTCTTTTCTTTAGAGCCAAAGGAATGGATCCTGACCCTAAGTTCCTTTTTTTCGTCAATCTGCTGCAAGGTAATGATGTTAATTTGGTAGTTGTGATGTGGAATGTTATGCCCCACATGCATAAGGTCTTGCATTTATCGATATTAAAAAGCATTTACCAGTCTTCTGACCATTTGTGGAGTTCATATAGTTCATTTGTGGAGGTACATGTAAGATAAGTTCTTACTTATCTACAAAGTAAGAAAGAACTTTGTAAGGCCTCAATAACATTTTCACTTCCAACTGTATCATAAATCTTAGTGTTGTCTGCAAATTTGATGATGTGGTATGTAATATTTTCATCTATGTCACTGATGTATATGACAAAAAAGGGGCAGGTTGGCCCCAAAATGGAACTTAGCAGTATCCCACTCACTATATTTTAGTCAGATTCACTTCCGTTTAGGACGACGCTTTGCTTTCTTTGTTTTATCCATTCTAGTGCTCTACCATTTATTCCCTGTGCAAGTAATTTCCTTTACAGTCTTTCATGTGGTACCTTATCAAAAGTTTTAGCAAAGTCCATGTATAGTATATCCACTGATGCAGGCGATGAGTCACAATAACGTGGCTGAAGTATGTTGACCAGACCACACACTAGAAATTGAAGGGACGACGACGTTTCGGTCCGTCCTGGACCATTCTCAAGTCGATTGTGAGAATTCACAATCGACTTGATTGTGAATTCACAATCGACTTGAATGTGTGAATGATTCACACATTCTCACAATCGACTTGAGAATGGTCCAGGACGGACCGAAACGTCGTCGTCCCTTCAATTTCTAGTGTGTGGTCTGGTCAACATATCCACTGATTTTCAGTCTATCGTCGTATTATACAATATATATAACATAGGAAATGTATATCTTATATTTATGGGGTCAAGTGAAACTAGACATTAGGACAGTAAGTAGTCCGACCAGGTAAGGCAAGGTGAATACACTGCCCTTTCTTCCGGATAGGGAGGGGTCGTGTTCTTCACATGCAGAAAGGTAACGACTGCGTCACTCCACTTATGGGTTCACCACAACTTAATACTACTCGGAACTTTTAATTCCGAGAAAAGTTCAGAGTAGCTGAATCTAAAACAACAACAAGACTGCGTCGCACTTTATATATTTATCTGATTTTACCTGAGGGCTACTATCTCTAGTGACCTCGACGGATACAGGAAGCCGACGGCTTGTCAAATTCTTCTTACTGCTGTTGATGTTTCCCATCTGGATTTTGAACTGATGTATTGTCATTGTATTTATGGCTTCATCGGGCAGGATTATTATACAATGAGTTGTATAATTATCAACTGCAACTATTTATGTGATCGTATTGTATGCAGATAGTAAAGCCGTAGCAAAAACTCATGCATTATTTGGATATATGAAATCAAGGTGACGATAGTTTTGTCTTGAGTTGCATGTCATAAGTGTTTACCTTCCTGCAACCATGGCGACGGAGGACGCTGCTTCTGGAACATGCCTCGACTTACACCCTATATTAAGTGAAATACAGAATGCTACCAAAGCTAAGAGGCGAAAGGCACTTGAACTGTTTTACAAAATAACATTTGAAAGTGAAGAGGAGGTGGATAAAGATCGGTTGTCGAGAATTTTCGGGCTTTCTTGGACGTTGCTTTTGGCACGCATGTCAGATGAGTCTGAGATCAGCCGAATTAATGCCTCAAACAGTGTTCTGAAATTTATTGAATTGAGAGTTGTGTCAGAAGATCACTTAGTTGATATAATCCCCATCGTTCACCATAGACTGGCTGTTAATCCTATTTTAGAAGAGAGTGAAGATGTCAGGAAAATTCTAATTGATATTATTAAAGCTCTAACAATTAGATTTGAATCTAAATTGATTCCATTCATGAATGATGTGGTTAACATTCTTAAAAGGTCAGTAGTTGATAAAAGTCCAGACGTACGAAAAGCAGCAAGTGAGTGTGTTAGCTGTTACGCCAAAGCCACAAATGAGAAGTTTAACATGCAGTCTAAATCATTGGTTGAACCACTTCTGAAAGCATTATGTCATCAGAGGTTCAAGAATAGAATAGCCTGCATAAATGCCTTGGGTGAGAAAATGTTATTTATATGTATTGTACAAGAGTTCTTGTACAATACATCCACTATATATACATATATATATATATATAAAATATAAATAATATTATATATTATAGAATTAAAAGTCACATCAAATGTGTAATATGTACAGTAAATGCAAAGAACCACGAAGAAACTGATGAATGTGTACTTGAATGCTTTTGTGTTCTTCAGCACATTGTCAGATGTTTATTGGGCTCTTAATTATATATTAAATATGAAAGTGCTCTTATATATATTCTTTACCTTCTCTGTTATTCGTTTCATGCAATGTACAATGTAGTATTACAGCATTAGGCCTATTTAAGTGGTTATAATTATTATAGACATGGTTCTTGGATACAGTGAAAATAGTGAAATTTATAATTTTTTATTTTTTAATTTGTGGCATTATTGGTAGGAACGACATCAGCAATTTGAATGTGACATCAGTATGCTTAATTTTTATTAAACGCTTCCCTTTACTCATTTTATGGATACATATTTTACCATGTAATATTTTCAGGGGATTTACTTTTGTATGGAGACAGCAGTGCTATCCAAGATGTCAGTTGCCCGTTGGCTAGGTGTACAATGGATCTTCCACAAGTTCGCTTGTCATTGGTAGAAGTTGGTGGGGCTTTAGCACTGCAGATGCCTGACCGCTATTCTTACTGGCATCGTATTCTTCCTTTACTTCTGTTTGGGTAATGTTTAGCTGCAGATTCTTTACACTTTCTTCTAAAGCCTTTTTTGTTTTTGTTTTATTAGTTTAGCATCTTCAAAAATTCACAAAGTGTTTTCCCCTGGTTACTGTACATAACATGACACAAGCAGTGTTAGTATTATCAATACAGTATGCATGCTTATGCTCGCAAACCTTGCACAATCACAACAAGTATAACCATAACTAATTGAACCACAGTCACCCCTTACATATGCAGACACAACCACCACTATAACCATTACATTCACTCTGCTCATTACATCAGTCTGTACTCATTTCACCAATTTGTAACCTATTTTATTTAAAAAAAATGTTTATTAATAAAGTGCATGTAATTAATTGTATATTAAATGACTATTAAAGGCTAAGAGATGATGATGCTGAAGTGAGGCAGAAATCCGAGGAACTCTGGATGAAAGTTGGACTACAGTTTGAAACTGAGAACATTGAACAACTGAAGACTGACGTTGATTTTGATGTCACTCTGGAAAATTATCCTGCTGGAGGTAAATTATTTTACTTTTTTTTTTTAAACCAAACGGGTTACATAAATAAAAAGTGCAACAGTTCTTTTAGTTATCTTTATGTAATACAGTATAATAATAATAATACTGTAATAATAATTATATGTTATTTATGCAAGAGTATATGTACATAAAGCCACAAGTTTGATGAGGTTTTAGGCATATTGTAGATTGTTCACTACTAAATTATCCTAAATATTTAATTAAATTTACTTGATGCATCATATTTTCAGAAGCGAGACCTGGTGTAGGGTGTCGAGTTCTTGTGAGACGTGCATTGTATCATATTCTTCCTGGCCTGATGAATGACTTGGATGATTGGCAGGCAGGGTCCAGACTACAGGCAGCTAAACTTTTGACTGTCCTAATCCTCAATGCTGATGTAGGAATAACTCAGTATGCAGAGAAGATTCTTATGGGTCTCAACTTAGTAGCAAGTGATAAAGAGGAAAATGTTGTGAAGCAGGTCAGAATAATCTTATAGCATTAAGTACTTTTTGTCAAACAGCATAAAGTTTTGATTGGTGCAACCTGAAGTAGTTTTAATTAATTTATACATACATTAGCAGTTCACAGTACATGTAGTGGTGTGCATTTTTTTCCTAGCAAATAAAGATACAGTACTAAAGGGCTGTTTGCAAAGTGTTTGCAATAATCTTTTATTTTTATATAACTTTTTTTATTTTATCCAGTAACTGGCAGGGCCTCACCTTTCTTTTTTGAGAGTTATTAGGTTAGGTTAGGGTATACTGAGAGCATGAGTCTTATGACCTGCGGCCATCTTCATACTTGATCAGGGCACAACTAAGTCAGCCTAGAAAGGAAAGCGTCATACCACACAATGCCTTATTTTTATATTGATTTATATCTTGATTTCTGACAGGTTATTGAGTGCAGCAGATATCTTGGCCACTTCCTTCCTCCAAAGACATACTTGCCACTCATCGTGCCCAGATTGAGTATGTATGAGAATGGGGAATGTCCATTAACAATATTGGCTTCTTTAGCTGAAGGCACAATGAGTTCTCAACTCCAGGAAAATATAACTGATATCATTACAGCTGTTTCAGCTGAGGATGTAGCCTACGTGTCTCAAGATAAACATCAAAGGGCTCTTCTACAGCTGACCCATATACTAATAACTAAGTGTGACCCAAGTGAAAGCAGTTTCAATATTTTCCGCATCTTATTATTTATTGCATCATCTTCGGAAATGGATAATAATGTCAACATTGCACTAGATCAATTGGATGTTCTATCAAATAAAACTGGATGTGCAGAAACAAGTGAATTATACCGAAGACACCTTAATACAACTCTGAAGAGTCTTCTTGCATCTGCCAGTTGCTGGAGTGAACATACCCCACAGTTCCTGATGTTTGCGGGCTTAATGGAACTAGCAGGTAGGATGATTTTCATGGTTTTAATGAATGTTATATTTTCTGTTTATGCATTATTTTACATGTTCATTCTAATATTATACATTCATATAATACAAGCTTGACATCATACACATCCCTGTACTCCTATATCTGGCATGTTATCACTAGCATTCTTTAACTTGAATCTTTCTTTTCATAGGGTATGGAAATATTTACCAGTTCCCTGCTGTCAAGTACAGTATACAGTAGTCTGTTCAGAGACATTCATATATCATCATTACTTGTCCAGAGAACATGTACCAATGAAAAGGGTGGAAATGTATCTCTCAACCCTTAAATATTCAATCCAAAGAGACTAGAATTTCTCAGAGCAGAATGTAGCCGTCTTGGTTTGGTTCCCATAATTGGGGACAGGAAGGCTGTTTTCATGGTACAATATTTATAGATTTTTGCATGTTGTAGAAGTTTAATATTGGATTTCTTTTCTGTCTTACTTCTCTTTTCATTCTAAGCATTTCTTCATTAATTCATGTAATCTCTTTCTTCAATTTCATTACTATTTTTTCCCTTTTATTTTATTTTTGTAACATGCTGTATAATTTGTATTATTTTCCTCTGCTTCATTGGTTTTTATTCCATATCATTCTGTTTTTCTTTAATTCTTTTTCCTTGATAGTTTTTTCTCCAGTGGCTTTTGTTACATGACAGCACAGTATATAAATTGTGCCGCGGTCACCAAATGTTGCACAGCAGCACTTTCAGAGCCTTTTAAATTTTATCTACATTTTATCTTTATTGCCTTTTCAAATAATACTACAGTAGTTTCCTGTTCCTTTACCCATACCTGTTTTTTCAGTGTTCTCTTAAATAATTGTGTGCATCTTGCACTTGTATGCACTTATTAAGAAAGTCTTTATTTTTCCACATATTTTTCCTAAGTGTTTACAAGTAGTGATTGTTCTACTTACTTGATAGCCAAACCAGGATTTGATATGCTTTAGCAAGGGTTTCAAATCCTCCATCGAAAGTCTTAACACTTGATAGTAACCAAAACATCTGGATAAAATTCTACATAAGAACTCTCTTTAAGAAGAGAGTTCACATATGTAACAAGGTGTAAAAGATGGATAGGAGGGTGTTACTGGATGTGTGGATTGGTTGGTACTACTGGGTGTGTAGTACCAACCTGTAGGCTCCATATGGATGGATGAATGAATTGGTACTACTGGGTGTGTGAATAGATGGATGGGTTGGTACTACTGGGTGTGTGGATGGATGAATTGGTTGGTGCTACTGGGTGAGTGGATGGATGGACGGGTTGGTATTACTGGGTGTGCGGATGGATGATTGGATTGGTACTACTGGGTGTGTGGATGGATGAATGGGTTGGTACTACTGGATGTGTGGATGGATGAATGGGCTGGTACTACTGGGTATGTGGATAGATGGATGGGTTGGTACTACTGGGTGAACTAGTGGGCTATAATCTAGTTTTCCTACCTCTTTTTTTTATATTTTTATCATCAAATATTTTTCTTTTCTCCAGGTCAGTCCCTTGGATATGAAATAGAGCTGTTTGTCAAAGTGCTTGTTGCATGTGTTCCAAAGAAACAAGATCCATATGTCAGTCTGCGTTGTTTAACAAAACTACGGACTCTTCTGTTTCGGGAAGATAAGCCACTTGAATCAAGTGGTCATCTTGGACTGTGGCTTCCTGAACTTGTCTCTGGTTAGTAAATGTATTGCTGCCTTTAATAGGGAAGCCCTTTGGAATGGTAAACATTAGTTTCCTTCAGTTTGTTTAACTCTGTATTAATATGATTATGACAACCCAGTGAAGTCAGATTTATCACTTCCTTATTATAGGGGGATATTATAAGGGCCTTGATATGGAACATTTCTTTAAAGAGTTTCAGAAATTTTAGACATTGTGCATTATCTTATATTGCAAATACAATGTAGAAATGTTTGCTCTTATTCTTCAGATTGCATAGCAGTGTTTTTGCCGTGGCATGCTGGTGCCACAGCTGAAGCTTTGAGAACAGCCGCTGTGGCATGCTTAGAGGCTGTTTTCAAAATCGCCAGTACTGAATCCCGTGTGATAGAAGGTAAGGTAATATATAGTCACAAAACATTGTTACAGTATCTAGAGAGAGATCTTTCATCAAATATTTTGGATCAAGGGGGTATGATAAGCTATGCCACTCAGTTGATCCTTAAGGAGCAAGTTGATCCTACTTCCCTATGATTAGGATCAGCAACAGTATGGTAGGTCAACATTTCACACATGTCATTATACTGTACTGAATACGGGACCTCTTGCCCAATGGAGATATATATTGTTTGAGAGATCCAGGATGAGAGTGTGTGGTGGGTATCTGCTTGTTACTCTGTTGAGAGGGTAAGTACAGTACTGATATCAGGTGGTAGCTTGGTCAAATTACTTGGTGGCTAGTAGATCAAATTGCAATTAGCAGAGTAATGCTTGGCAGTCTCCTTGAGGCTAAATATTGCTCAGAGGAGGTTTTTAAGTGTAGACAATGAATATTCTGGAGATCATTCTGGTCAGGATAAAAAATCTACAGCATATCTTTCTCCACTATGACCCAGTGGGGGCATGTAAATAAATCTGTGCTGCATTAGGTTGTGTTGTTGACCTGGCTTGCCTGATGTTTGATTGTGCCCTAGAGAGAGAACAGGATATTATCAAGAGAGCAACTAAATGGTATAGCTCAGAAAATGAATATTTATCAGAGCAAACACTAGGTTTAAACCCTCATTACGGCCCTTGTGGATTTGTTTACAAGCCAATTCAATTACCTTGCAGGAATAAATTATTGTATAAACAAACAGTACAGTAATAGGGTTCATGCTGCACAGTTGTTTGTAGTCCCACATTATATTTTATATCCAGTGCATATTTGTTTCTACAGATGTATTATTCAATTGCTGTTCATATATTATTCATTGAAATGAGCCTGGGTAACAAATTTCAGGTTATAGATTTTCAGTTTAACAAGATTAAATTGTATAGCAAAGTACTGTACTGTATTTTATTACAATGTGTTGTACTAAGGACTGTCTCAGCATAGAAGTAAAATTTCACTTGTGTATGTTTTATCAATTGCTGTCCTACTGAAAGTATTGGATTAAGATTATTTCTTAACTGGAGATGAGGGTAGTCTCATGCACACTGTTTCCCTTGATATTCCACCCACCTGCAGATGTGAAAGATTTACATAATAAGACATGAAATACATTATTTTGATATAGAATTCTTCATTCTGCCTTAGTCATCACATGCCAGGGTACTGTACTGTAGAAACATTTTAATAATTACAGTATTATTTAATAAAAACAAGAATATGAGAGGGTCAAAGATGGCCTTGACATGTTAGGTTTAAAAACATATGTAAACATTCTAATTTCAGGAAGACCTAACATCAAGTGAGAGAGAGTGCAGAGAAGGATTCTTTAAAATAAAGAAACGAGCATCTGAGGGTTTAATTAAGCAGAAAATAATAATATTCGTGATACAGTGTTATAGTAGCTGAAATGCAACAGGTTTTCTTTGTCATTTAGGTAGCAATTGAATATTAAAACACTCATTATATGGGTAGATGTATGAGGAAAATATTTAATATAAATTCCACAAGTAGGTTTTTAATGATTATGATGTCTCTTAACTCTTCAGAGCTACTGATAAGTGAATATAACAATTAAATTTATGTAGCTTTACTTTTTACAGAGCTAAGGAAATGTTTAGCTTTAATTCCGGCCTTAATAGAGGATGATGCAGAAGACACTCGCCGCTTCTCTTGTGATGTCATTTACTGGACGGTCACAAATTACTTCCAGTTAATCGATTCAGAAAAATTTCACATGTTTGCTAATAGTAAGTATATTCAGATTTTTTTTAACGTTTCTGTATATACACGACATTGTTGGATATAGGGCACATAAACTCGTATATTTGTAATAGAGTACTGTACAGTACTGTATTTGCAGTCATTGATCATTTATTCAAACATGTCAGGACTAAACATTTAAAAAAACAGTACTAGCTAATCGAACCAGTAAATCTACTCTCCAAAACGATCTAATTGTTTTACTTATTATTCTGATATTTCTTGAAATTTGCCGTGAAATTAGCTTTTACTGATGTGAATTTTATTCATCAGGGTGTCTGTGAGCTATCACTATATCAGTTTCAATAGAGTAGTAGCATAACAAATAGAGGTGAGCCTTACCAAACACTGTTGTCCTGCTTACTGTGTACTGGGCTTACACATCTCTCCTAGCAACACTACCATTAACCTTCATAAGCTGTTTGTATTTTAAGAGGCATCATTGCATTATTTCCTTTTCACTTAATTACTTCAGAAGCTTTGATTGATAAGCTGACAAAATGAAAATGTTTTGTACTTTTTAAGTGATAAGTCCAGGGATATGAAGGGGAGACAAAGCTAAATGGTCGTGCCAGACACAAAACAAGCACATGGTGTGGCCAAGCTGCGAAGCCCCTTTGACTCCTGTGATTTTTTGAGCAAATGCCAAGTAACTGAGCAATGTTTAAAACTTTTCACTAACATCTGCCAGTCAAGAAACTAAGTTGATGTTTGGAATGTTCCTCAGACATTGGTTTGTCAAAAAAGCAAAACATTTTGAAAAACATGTTTGAAAAAATAGGCAGATAACTGATACAATGTTATTACTGGAACAATTAAAATAAATTCAGATGCATTCATAATTTTCAATCTGATATCTTATGTGATGCTCCATTAGACATTGATCTTCTTTTGTTACAGAACTAGTGAAGAGATTTGATGATGTATCACAATTGATTCGACTGAAAGCAGCTCATGTTTTAGAAGTGTTATTTAATAGTTTGCCAGAAAATTACGATCCCAGATTGCACTTTGGCCAGCTGCAAGACCTGTATACAGATGCAGTAATATTCTTAGATGATACTGATGATAAACTGCAGGAAGCTGTCTCAGGTAAGTCTAAAGTCCTGGTTGGACCACTGTTTATTGCTATATTTATTGGACATTTAAGTTATTATTCCTCACTTAAGTACAGGTATACTGATTTATTCACAAAATTTATTCTTTTTTGTCAGTTACCCTGGAGAAAATGGGGAGGGCATGTCCAGAACTGCTCATTACAACGTTGGAGAAAGATATTCATAAGTATCGGAATGCACAAAACTGCCATAAACTTATCGACTCGATGAAGGCTCTGCAAGTTTGTGAACAAAAATAATCATCATGCATATTTCTTGTTTCACATTAAAATGTGACTGACTTCTTTTGTTTTAGAACAAATTTCAAATCTAATTACCAGTACCTAGCCCATAGAAGCACTACTATGAGAAGAATTAATGGGTAAGTTCCTTATGTATGATTCTTTTTCTATAGCAAAAATACATAATTTTCTAGTATACAACAGTATTCATTAAATTTGTTATTATCCAAATAAAAGGCTCAAAAGCATGACCCCAAAATGCAACAGATACACTGTCTTTTGTTTTAATCTAAAGTAAGATATTTTGGGTAATTCTAGGGTACAAATTGTTTCTTCTACTGAAAATTTGTGTGTAATGTATAGATTTAGGCACAGAAATTTAGAACAAAATTAACTAGAAAGCTCTATACAAAACCACTTACCTAAATTACGTATGTGTGTAATAACGATGGTTAAAGGTGCGGGGAGATTGGCACAGTCTGCCACAACTAGTGATGTAGTACATATATAATTGAAGCGGTCTCCAGTGCACGGAGGAACTACATATTCCTTATACTGCACCAATATGTTGTATGCTTACTTTTTAATTTGTATATGTTCCCTTTTGTTTGGTATTCTCAATATCTTAGCAAAACTTAATACTTATTCACAGTTTATACCACCACCACTAAATTCCGTTGTTACACTGACTCTGCTTTCTTTAAATTGAGGCACTTATTGTATAACACTTTTTGCAGAATGGATAACAATGCCTTTGATGGCACAGTGTGTGTTCACACCATAACCACTAGATGTGATCACCAACACCATGATAAGTAAAATCACAATGACAACAAAGACTACTGTACGTTCCACCATGAACTTCAGTACGCTCACTAGCAGCACGATTGCACCCCCTCCACTAGAATAAAAGATCATTAAGCATCATACTGACATATTTTCATCAGGATCAGAATCTGTAGCACCAAATAAGCTTCAAGTAGTAACTTATAGAGCAATGTCTGTAGTCTATGTGGCCAATCTCCACCCACACCCCATTAACTCGCTCATTATCTTACTTAACTCGCTCATGTCCCATCCTCATTAGGGAAATGTGTGAAGTATGGGAAGAACTGCAAAGTTTTGTTGAAAAGCTCGCCCAGATAAAGCCATAGCAGGCCGTTGCATTGACCTTTTAAATGACAATGTGATGTCTCACTACAGACAAGTGTTAAAATGTAGGGAAAAAAGTATTTTTAGACAGATTCTTAGTAAGACAAGCAAGCAGTGAGCCACAACCAGGTCCTAGTGGTATGCCTGCAAAACATAGGAGAGAGAGTACCCCCAGAGAAGTCATCACTGCCTGATGCTATAATGGAAGGGGACTACCCTTCCAAACAGTAACATCTCTTCTCCTCCCCATCTTCCATATGCCAACAAGAATCCTCAATAAAGGTAAGGTAAACATACTGTATTGTAGCTAGGAAAAAAGTGGTATTCAGTATAAGATGTATTTTTAAGTTAATATTTTTGCAGGTGTGGAACTGATTAATTCAATTTACATTATTTCTTACGGGAAAATTTGTTTTGACTTACGAATTTTCGACTTGTGACCCGTCTCTGGGAACGGATTAAATTCCCAAGTTGAGGCCCCACTGTATTTCAATTATAGGGATGTGGCAACCTCAAACCAGTATGTTGTGCAATTAGCCATTCATTCCCTGCATTATAGGGGTGTGGAGCATTGGACTTGGGACCCAATTCTCCCTTAAGGTCAAATAGCCTCAGAGCTGGGCGTTGCGTCAAAGAAGGAAAGTTCGATGTGCTCGATTTATGTGAAAGAGGGAAATATTAATGAAGAGTGGAATGGGGTAAATGTTATAAGAACATTATAGAAAGTAAAACTGTGCCTGTCACAGGTGATGCATGTTATAGCATATACAGTATGCCATATGACAAAAACTGAGAATAAAATTTAAGTTGCTTACAGAATAAGATTGGAAGGATATCTTAAGGTTATCTTGAGATAATTTCAGGGCTTAACATAACTGCGGCCCGGTCCTTGACCAGGCCTCCTTTTTGTTACACACCCCCAGGAAGCAGTCCGTAGCTGCTGTCTAACTCCCAGGTACCTATTTGCTGCTAGGTAACAGGGGCATCAGGGGTGAAAGAAACTCTGCCCATTTGTTTCCAGCTCCACCGGGGATTGAACCTGGAACCTCAGGACTACGAATCTGAAGCGCTGTCCACTCAGCTGTCAGGCCCCCTGTACCTTACATTGATAAAATAACCTTTTTACAATATGACTGACTTTTGTTTTATCATGGCCAATGCTTTCCTATTCTATGAATATGGAAAATGGATTGTACATAATCCTTTCCTACTTTTAATTTTGTGGGATTTGTTATTGTTTAATAATGGTGATTATAGTAAGAGGTACTGGCAAATACTGTAAGTTTGGCATTGCCAACAAGTGTAGTATGCTTTGTAGTGAAAATTATCATGAAGTTGCAAGTATTAAGAATATACAGTACCATACTATCATGTTATTTTGACTGTTACATTACCCATTCATGGAGTAATGGTCGGGAGCCGGTCGGCCGAGCGGACAGCATGCTGGACTTGTGATCCTGTGGTCCTGGGTTCGATCCCAGGCGCCGGCGAGAAACAATGAGCAGAGTTTCTTTCACCCTATGCCCCTGTTACCTAGCAGTAAAATAGATACCTGGGAGTTAGTCAGCTGTCACGGGCTGCTTCCTGGGGGCGGAGGCCTGGTCAAGGACCGGGCCGCGGGGATACTAAAAGCCCCGAAATCATCTCAAGATCTCAAGATAACCCACACTTTCACTCGATAGCACATCACGTGTCCGAAAACGTTTCTAGTCAAAGGCACTGTTAATGCCTTTGGAAGATTGTGTGTGTGTGTAGCCTTCACATCGAGGAAGAGAAGCTGCAGAGGAAACAAGATATTTAGATATAGATACATATTGAACTCACACACAATTACAATGTATGCTTCCATGAAGTTACTTTCTTGAAAATATATTAAATTTTGTTGGCTACACATGTGGTTGCATATTACTACTTGGGAATATAACACAAACTGATGAGTGTTAATTTTAATTTTTATAGTACATAAAGAATAGTCACATCTGAATAAAACCAATATTTGTGAAAGAAAAACAATAAATAATAGGGCAAAAAGCCACAGAAGAGGTATGAAACTGCAAGGGATTTTAAATCTTAACACAATATGTACATATGGATACTGCTTAAACAACCAGCACACTTTGTTAAATGGCTTCGATAATTGGTCACGTGCCCTACTTTGTCGGGAAAGTGGGTAGCAGGTGGTTGTATCTTAAATTTTTGGCAATTATTTATTTTCCAATTATGACAAGCACTTTTTCATTGACCATCCATTATAAGGCACAATTTTTCTAGTCAAAGTTATTTTCGCACTAAATTGGAGATTCTGACTGAAAACAAATTACAAGTGATTTTTGAAAATTATATTACAAGGGTCTAAATTATAGTGCAATAAGCTTCCATCACTTTAATATTTAAATGTTAAATATACTGTATATGCTTAAGCAAGTGGATTGCCATAAGGGAATATTTACTACCTCTAGGATGTTTCCAAAGATTTTAAGCACAGAATATGGAGCATCACTCTGCAGTTTTGTAGTGTGCAAAGGTGTTTGTTTCTCCACAAATATGATTCATGAATGTGGGAGCACACAATAAATTTGTATTGTATATATGTACTGTGTACTGCATGTGTGTATCAAAATAATGAGAAGGCTGAAAAGCACTGTTTTTAAGTTATAATTTTTTGTTTGTAGCTTCTTTTAAATAGTGACAAAACACTGCTGTTTCAAGCTTGAATTAGGCTTGCGAGTTATAATATAAGGTGTAATTAAAAAAAAAGCTCAACTGAATATATGGTCAAACTGATCAGGGTTGCAAAATTGAATATAGCACCTTAAAGTCCACATCTGGTGTCCTGCAATTAAGTTCATCGCCTCTTCCCATGCTCTCTAGTGCAAATTGCAGCCGTGGCTACGTCATTATCATACATATAACAATGAAGGCCTAATGTTCTACAAATATTTCACAAGTGAACCATGGATTTCTATGAGACTGTGTCTAAGAATTATTAGTTGCACAGAAAAATGCTGTCGAATGTTTACCTACGCTTCACCCTATTATGCAACACTGAAATTGAGATGATGCAATACTCAGAGGGAAAGACTTGAGACACTTCAGACATGCATTTGTATAATGCATTATACTTTCACAACCCTCAGTGCTTTCACTCATGTTTAGTCTGATTTTTATTACACCTTGTACAGGAAGATGAATTATTAAGTTTTAAAAACACAAGAACAATGAAACTGACTTTCATCTAACCAATTCAGATTCATGTTATCCACTTTTTCACAATCTTCATCATTATGAGTCTTGAAACTGAATATATCCCTCTTCTGTACAATTTAAAAACAATGTAAAGAAATCCCAAGATAAGATTTAGACAATTTGTAGACAATATTTCACCTATTATGGCTTCATGAAATTACTGTATTAATCAGGCTTATTAGAAGAAAATGGGAAAGGGTTAAGGTCAGCAAGTGAAGGAATTTAGTTACAATTTATGACAGTAGTTCAGCATGATGTAGCAAGGAAGGAAAGTTTAACATGGCTACTCCTCTTGCTAAACTAATACTGTACTTCAGAAACATGTTGTAACATGCAATCCCTCATGTCTCTCACATTGAATTCACTGACCTCACCATTTCTCAGTTGTTCACATTTAAAACACTAGCTTTGTATATCTGTTAGATCTGATAAAGCCCTCACAGGAAAAATTACATTTACAAATACTCAAGTACTGTATTTAAATCTTGGCATTTCTTTACTTTGCTATCAGCACTTTGTGCTCTCTACTACCAAGTTATTAACAGTTGTCGTGAATAAACCTTTGTGCTTTATTTTATAACTGGTAAAGCATCTAATAATATATCAATACTGTATATCTAAATGGCAGGTTTTTGGCAGCTTTTGCTGATAAGCTGAAACTAGTGCATTATCACAGCCCTAACCCTCTTGTCCTTTTGTTAATAATACGCAGAAAATACTATCTGTACAGATCCTTGTTCTGGTATTATTCATCCATGAGTAATATAGTTCTACACAATCTTTTCTTGACCAGGCGATCTTAAAAGCAAATTAACACAAGCAAATTTTGGATATTAGGGTACTTGTAAGAGCCAGTCCAGGGAATGGCTATGTAATCATTTATAATGTCACAAAATAGAAAAAGTACAAAACTTTTCCATCAGTGAAAGCCTTTAAGATAAGTATATTAATCATCTGCAATTACTTTAATTCTAGGAGTGTATGCAGTTATGTTGTAGATATATCTTCAAGTACATGAAGTCTAGAGTGGAGGAACATTATCGTGGCAAAGCATATACACCGTATTGTATGATTATTTACAATTTTGCAACAGATGGCAGGGACACAGTTCAGACCATAATGCCATACATCAGGCTACTTATCACTAGAGGGACCACAAAATCCTTCTAGACAATTTTAAATACTATATCTGATATGTACAATGGCTTGGGCAAAAAAAAAATCCAGGGCAACTGTTTGACACATTTACCAGTTTAAAAATAGATCTTGGTGTGTGTCAATTTTTAGTACTGTAATTCAAAATTAAAGACAAATTAAATAACATTTAAAAGAACAACTTGATAATATTATTAGTGCTTCAGTGTTGTTAAATTTGCATGTTTGTAATGTCAGGTCACAAGTAAATTATGATGGTTTTCAACTTAAATACCTTGATGCAGATTTAAATAAACTTCAATAACAAATGAACAATTAAAAGAAAATATACAGACCCCATTTTTAGGCAATGTCATCACAGATTCTCCCACTGAATGATAAACAGGGTATACTTTCACTGTTACATCATCATGGTGCTTATAGTCACACTTCACAATAATAAAGTTCACCATTTATCTGAATTGTATTCCTTAGTGTGAGGATCCAACTTTGTTAATTAGATCATCACAGAGCTGTGTTAATTCTTGGTTTTCACGAGTTTTTCTGTCAAAGGAATCTTGTAAGGACATGATCTTCATTTCTGCCTTTTTAAGAAGTGCTGCCATTTTTGTCATTTCTTGATCATTGGCTTTCCGCATGGCTTCAAATTCTTCATTTGCTCTGAGGAAATGTAAATAAAATTTATGTACACAGTACATGTATAATGCAACTTTGTATATTATGTCTGTAATTATATATGTACACACACAAACATGCAGGATATTACACACAACAAAAAGAAACTTGTATTGAAATACTGTATGTAGCACACATAAAAATGCTTGAGAAAGGCATAGGTTAGCAACCATAAACAGAACAATGTAAACCAAGAGGACAAACAATTCACATGCTGGAGAAATAGACAAAGTGAGACTATTATACCTGTACTTGATTCCTGGTGCTACTGACAAGGTGGACAGAGACAGGTCGTATGAAAGTGATGGATCCAGGATGAGCGAAACAAGTAGAAACTTAACAACCGAGTCAGCAAGAAATATTTAAGAAAATAAAGTGTAAGGGTACCACCAGCAGTGGGCAAGTGGAGGTTTTGAGTGAAATGCACAAACAACCAGTATTGAATGTAAGGATATGCCTCTTTCTAGTAGAGCCCTGGTGATTCCCTTAAGCTGTTGGGCTCCTCCCAGAAAAGTGGAGGCAAACTCCCTATGTGGATTCAAATAAATATTTAAATCCTAGGGTTTAGGTAGGCCTGTTACTCTAGGCAATTTCAGGAATGCACTTAAATTCACAAAGAAATACGAAAACAAGCATTTACAACATACACGACATGACCTATAATAGGTCACACAATGAATTAGAAAAGTTGCCAAGACAAGCTACTAAATGGGTCCCAGACCAAAAACACAAAAGGTATTAGGAGGGGCTTGACTTGATAAATATGCCAAAGCTAGTATACAAGAGGAAAAAGAGCAATATGTTCAATACTGTACCTACAAAATAATGACAAATCTACATATGATATGGAGGAATTTGTGTAAAATCTGCAACATCAAGAAAAAGGGGCCAAAGATTTAAGCTAAGAGAGCAAAGATGTTCAATAAACATGTACTAAATTTTTTTGCCAGCGATAACACAGATAGAATGAGTTAAATGAGATATCAGCATGTGCCACAACCATCGGAAGCTTCAAAATGTCATGAGACAAAGATTATAAAGAAGACAAGATGCCACGAGCAAAGCTCTCATCCTATGACTATACTGTACTTAGGTAATTAAACAGTCTCAAACCATTTTAAAACTGATTGAGCACTTCATAGCAAAAAGAGAAGGAATTTCAGTATATTTATTAGCATTTTTGCTGAAAAGAGATAAATAAATTAACTTGCTAAAAAAAGTATTATAGCAACTTACAATTGAATTTTCTCTTCTGCATGCTTTTGGAATTCTATAAATTTTTGTTCTTGTTTCTGTAGTTTGGTCTCATAATCTGCAACGGCCCCACGGAGTGTCTCCTCATTTCTTCTAAGCGTATCCACAACTTGTTTTGTTCTTTCGTATTTTCTGCACATAAGAAAAAACTAATTACACTGAATGGCACTTATTCATAAATGTAAAGATAGTTAAAAATATTTAGTGAGTGAGCAAAGGAGTGTGTATTGTGTACATAGTGGGGTAAGGCAGGTGTGTGCATGCATGAGGGGGAGGGTGGGGGGGGAAACCAACCCATCCTCTTACTGAATGCACTACATTTTTTATGCAATCGACTTGTGTAAAAATTGGTGTGGTTTAGGGAAATTAGAAACACATTATTATTTATGTTTTTAGGGATTAATGAGTATTAGCTGTAGTAGATTATGTGGGTAGCCTAGGTTTTGACACTTCTAGTTATAATCCACTTCATTTTTCACAAGAGCGAAATCGAGAGAATGGGCTATGATATTCTTAGTGATTGGTGTGTAAATTTCATTATTTAAAAAAATAGCTGTAGTGGTAGGGAAATTTGCTCCATTCAACATCTGAATGTGGTAAATACATTAATTAAATCAAGATTTCCCCATCTATCTAAATCCTTATCATTTCTGAAAATGCCCTTTCCCTGAAAAGGCTCACTACATGTACTGTATAATCTTCCCCTTTAATTATCAGAAAATCAACTCTTATCATATTAACTAGACTAACCTTATTTACAAAACAATTTTTATATAACCTATGTAGGTTATGAGCATCATAATACTATTTAAACTGTTGTATATAAAATTATGCCTACTGATGTCAATATATCATCGTTATGATTTTTTGTCAATTCCTTTGTTAAACCTTTTTTTTTCCTTGTTCAAATCACAATATTCAGCATATTACATGCTTTTTGGAAACAGTGTACATAAAACAAAATGAAGTTTTATTGTAATGTCTAGCTTTTACTTTTATTAATTTAACCATTTTTATTTAATGTCAGTGTGTTTTATTTCTTATTTTTATTTATGACAATGTTCATTTCTTGTATAAATTGAGTGTTGGCAAGTATATTGAGTTGTGTATGGGAGAGAATGTCTTTTAAAGTAACTTTTCTATGCTCTTGTGTAGCATAGCTCTCCATCATTTCTGCCACTCGGAGGAAACTTGGTTCTGGTCAAGCACAGAGGTGCATGTGTGGCCTCACAGCACAGCCACACACATACAGTATACTTCTGTGCTCGACCACAACCCCCTCTTCCCCGAGTGGCAGAGTTGGTGCGCAGCTATACTACACAAGAGCATGGGAAAGCTACTTTACACACATTCTCTCCTATACATAATTCACTATACGTGTAAACACTGGGAGTTTATAAAAGAAAAATTAACATTGTTAGTAAATGTTAGACATTACATTATTACATACAGTTAAAAAACAAATCTCTAATGAAATTGGAGATTATGGAGGTTTTTCTATTCTGCATTTACGTTCTAAAAGTTTAAGTAAAAAAATAAGTCTATATATAATTCTTGACAATATGAATTGCTGAGAATAATTTATATTTACCTGTGAACATCAGAGAAAGCAACCTCTACATTAGCCAGGTCCTCCAAGGCCTGGTTTCTCTCAACCTCTAGAGCTTTAATTCTCTCATCAGCATTTTGTTTTTCCTTCTCTTTCTCACTAACCAGAGAGGCTAGCATTCCTTTGTACTGACCCACCATCTTCAACAATGCATCACGTGAGTTTGTCAGTTCAGCCATAGACTCTCCTAGGGTAGTCAGCTCTTTCTGCTCATCCTTCATGGTTTCCCGCAACTGTTTCTCCTTCTCTCCAGCCGCTAGTTCTACTTGAAGCAGTTTTTCTTCAAACTTTAACTCTTGACGCTTCAGGAGATCTTGTACCTATAACAAAGAGGAAATTCCTGAATTAGCATGGCATTTAGTGAAGGTACAGAAGTGTGTGTATGGTGACAGAAGGATTAGAGGAGAAAAACAGGAAATACTGATGCAATAACCTAGTTGGACACCAGACATGAAATATTAAATCCTACAGAAACCTTGCAAAGTTTAATACATCATTATTTTTTAACATTTAAATTCTTATTTTGCTTACATTTGCTATTTTTTTTTAAATGATGTGATTATTGTATGAGCCAAAAATAATTTAAAGAAATCTGAAGCACTTTGGTTGAAACACAAAATACTGAAATATTGCATCCAAAAAATAAGAAAAAGATTTATGGTCACCAACTAAGGACCACAATCACTAACATTTCCAGGGGTATTGAAGTATTAAAGAAACTGTGTGCTAGCAAATGGGTTTAAAGATCAAAAGCTAAACCAAAACACATGCGTACATGAAATGGCTAACTCCTAAAACATAACATTCATTCACTTCACGACATACATTACTGACAAAAGCAAGTAAAATATGGTTTAATCTTATTATATTCTGCATCAGCTTTGTGGCATCATGTGCAGCATCTATAAACCTAAAAATAAAATAATAAAATAATAAGTTTCCAAAAGCAAGCTGGAAATAAAGTTGCCAGCATGTGTGTTTTGTCTGGTTAACTTCTTGCACTAAATTATCAATTTTGAATCTTTTGTTTTATGGATATGCAGCGAGTCTTCAAGTAGTCGTACCTCAGCAGCAGTCACATAACCCTCCGGTGGGATGGAAGAAGGACGTGATGAGGACTTGCGCTCAGAGGTATCACTCGGACGGGGTGTAGGACTACTGGTCCCTTCAGGAGCTGATCTTTCCTCACGCGGTGGAGCAGGGGAAGATGTGGACGGGACTTGCTAAATATTGTAGAAATAATTAATTAAATGCCAATTAGATTTATTAAACAAAATATGTACAGTACTTATACTGTATAATTTTTTTAATTTGTTATTGTATATAAATTTTTTCTAATTTTAATTAACTTGTACTTCTTAAGAACCGACCTTGAAACTTTTTTTTAATATATTTTCTACATTTATTATAAGAGGCTAATTTCAATACAGTACATAAACTTTTGTGGTCATTTCCCAACAAAATTTAAATCTATATTTTATTTTTCACTCGAAACAGAAGGTTGCCATTGTATATACTATACTTATTTTTGTTTCATTAACCCATTCAAATAATGAATTATAATCTGTGTTCATAGATATTTACAAAAAATTAACTAAGCATTAATTATTGTAGTTAATGATTTGGGGGGGGGGGAATTATGATAAAGCATTTTATATTTAAATTTTTAAAGGAGTAACTATGTAAATACTGAAGTTAAAAGTTGTTACGTTTTTGTACATTGTCATCTGTAATTCTATCTTTCAAGTAAATGTTTCAAACATTTGATAAGGTTAGTTATGGGAGAGCAACCAGGGTTCAGAAATAGCATCCTTAAAGGGTTAATTAGGTCTGGACCCCTGCCTTTATATATCCAAATCAGCTGTTTGTAATTTGGGGGTAATTTTTTCTTATTTGTAAAAATTATAGAATATGTACAGTATTTGTACATGTACTGATACAAAATTATCATGAAGAAAAATACAAGATCTAAAAAAAGAAAAAGCAATTAAGTTTATTGGCAACACAAATGTGAATTCCGTTGTTGATTCCGTTTAGTGTGTAGTTTATTGTTGCAAAGAAAGACAAATTTTTTCATCAACATAAAAAGTAAGCATAATATATTTGCAAGTGCAAAACAAAGCTAATTTCTCAAGCAAGTTTACCTAAACAAATAATGAATAAAAATTAAATATAAAAACCAGAGAACTGGACAACTATAATGTAATGCATGAAATACTGAAACTGATGACAACGCACACAGGATTCCTGAAACTGATGATAACACATACAGGATTCCCACAGCATGTTCACGTAACACAAGAGCTATCAGTGCCATAGTGAATCTTGTTCATACACGAACAACACATCTCATTTAAGAGAGAGATTAATAAAAAATTAAACCTAACCACCAAATGTTTCGTTTATTTGTGATATTTTTCATTAACAATTACATGACGCAACACTAATGAAATCCGTAATACATAGTACATTACAAAAATCATTTAAATATATTTTGAGATACAAAATGTAAAGTTTTGTCAATATATTATATAAGAGGCTATGCATGTTGGTATGACTTGTTAGCAGAATAACAACTAGATATGTTCTGATCAAGTCACCCAATTTTAGGAATCGGCAGTGTAATAAGTATGTACTGGGAAAGCAATGGTTACAGATTACTGTAGTAAGCAAAGATGTGTGAATACGGGAGAGTGAACAGCAAGTTCAGGCTGTTTTGACAGCAGCCTGTGATAAGCACAGGCTACTGTTAAAAGGGTAGAAGATGCAAATGGTGGTAGTGACATCAATAATAGTGGTTGCAGAGGTGATGGTGTTATGGTAATAGTGGTGGCAGGTTTAGCAAACGTGGAGTTAAGAACAGTTTTTTTTTTTTTTTAAATCTTTAAAGGAAAAATCCAATACAGTACACTACAATTATAGAGATTTTGCAATTTTTAAACAACTGAGGTTATGATGAAAATTTACATTATGATCAAAATATTAATTGTACTACAGTATATTTCTTTGCTTTTTCTTTCTAAACTAGATTGCACATAATGTGCAATCTTCCAACGATATCATTTTAAATCGTGACTACTGTAGTGTGTTTATCCCCTGGCAACAGAGCAGGTATGTTTATGAGAACGCTCAAGGTTACTCGCCCTCAACTTTAAAACGATTCTGACATCTACCCTTAGGGTGCAACATAGGTCAACAATAATAGGAATCATTCTTGCACCATCATATGTGTCTTAAAATTTCAAGCCAATACTCTATGGTATTCTTAAAATACTTAATCCCATGAACATTGCAACCGATTTTTTTTTTATGTGAACTATAAAGTATACCTTCAGACAATACCCAACAAGGTTGCTAACACAATAATAGTACAATATTGACAAAAATGACTTGTTACAGTACCACATTTATTTATATATATAATTGGATTGGCGCCAAGTAAATCCTTCCCGGCCAGGGTACGAACCTAGGCCAAAGTGCTCACAAAATGCCAGGCGAGTGTGTTACCACTTTGCCACGGGGGGATATTAATTCTTCAACAACCACTATGGGAATAAAAAACAAGAGAACTTGCTAATGTTGAAGAATAGAGCAGGATGATTATTAGTTTGCAACAATCAGACAGTATATACGACTTTGAAGAAGATTATGATTAAGGAAGTGTGCTTGGTGACAAACAGAAGAGACCACGACACTGGAAGATTAATGTCATTATATTTTGCCCTAGTGATGAAATTTTTTTTTTATGAGAGACAAACCAGGAAGACACTGGGAGATGTCGGCTATTGGATGGATGGATGCACTCTGCTAGGTGTTTATCAAAGTACATGTAATAAATTAGAAAATATAAAAATCAAATTGGAAAATTTGATTTAACAATGTACTGACCTTGTGTTGAGGCGAGACCGGAGTAACTGCTGGGTGGTCTCTTCTGTCTCTGGTGGGCGTCACTTCATCTCCACTCAGTTTACTGTGACTGTCAAATGCAATACATCACATTATTTGCATTATCTACAATATTAAAATTACAATAAACAAATAGAAATTGCTTTCATTCTTTTGATGAATCACAAGAAAAATATTCCAGCCTATTTTAATAGTTATCATAAGTGCTTTTTCTTTAAATGCAAAGATATCATCCATGGGCATTTCCATGGACACGATATGAAACGTTAACCAACAAGAAATTGTGACAAAAATGTGCAGGTGAAAAAAATTGCATTTTAGAACTACTGTATTGACAACAGATATTATGAACTCAAGCAATAGGGCATTATTTAGCTTCTAGAAACCAAGAAGAACAAATTTAAAAAATAATTTAGCACTACTTTTACATGCAAAATTCCATATATTGTAGACAACAGCAACTGCCATCTTATTTCCACTGACACTTTATTGGTCTTATTTTTAAGCCATTTGTGTCTTAACACATTACATTAATTTGTAAAATGATAGTAATGTATTCTTACTAATGTGTATTAGTCACACTTTATGTGCAATATTTAACTATGCAATACTACACTCATATTGTGCTATGGTGTACAATAATACATGCCACACTAAAATAAATTATATTACACATGTACAGTACATAATACAGTAAAATACATTAATTTTACATGGTAAATGGAGTACTGTACTAGTGCAGTTATCTCTAGTTTCTATTTACAATAACATCTCCAAATATGTAAGGTTCATGATGTACAATAACAATCCTGATGGTACAAAAAAGTAGCCATACTACAGCATCCTAAAATGTATTACTCAAAGTTCAAACATTTCTTGACTTGAACAATACAGGTATTACAAATATTAAGAACATTCCAAATTCATAGACACCAATTCAGAAACAAAACAAATCCCCGTTCCCCCCCCCCCCCCCACATCTCCCTGCTAAGTATGTAACCTTCTAGCTGAAGATATCCCCAATAGATGGAAGTATTCTTATACAGTCTAACCAACTACTGAACACAAGGTTACAATTAATAAAATTTCAGACAAAAAAATATATACTTTGTGTGTAATTACTCAAGTGTCGTTACAGTCTACCCAGCACTTTGTCATATAGCGCTTTAATGAGAGAATGCTATATATAATGGTATAACTAACAAACGAACGAATGAGAGAGAGATTAGAGGGGGGGAGAGAGGAAGGGGGGGGAAGAGAGGAAGGGGGGGGAGAGGAAAGGGGGGGGGGGGAAGAGAGGAAGGGGGGGAGAAAGATATATACAGAGAAAGAGATAAACAGGAGAGAATGAGATAGAAATAGAAATACTGTAATGTAAAGAGATGGGGCCATAGGCTCAGTCTATTAAAATGTTTAAAAGATCCATTTATAATGCAGGCAATATAACCTGCCCAGCAGTCAGGCTATACCATACTGAGTGCTATCCTAGACTATTTTACTGGTACTGTATACTGCTTTGCTGGTCAGGATAACATATCATATGATTAAACTAACTAGCCCATATGAGATGCATGGGGCTCACAGTAAACTAATTGAACTAGTTCATCAAATTTGTAACTTTGTAATATATACGAGGTTACTACACGAACTCGCACCAGAGACTATGCCTATAAGGAGGCAATTATGCACATAAACCAAATTGTACACGCTGTTAACGGTGCTGTTTAGTGTCTAATTACATACTGAAAGTCACAAACTAATATGTTATTGGGAATAAAAGTTAAGTGTGAATAATGCATGGGTTGAAACGAAGGCAAAATGGCATTCAATTTCATTACTTCAAAACCCTTACTATGTTAAAAAAACAAAGCAAAACTTGAGTGTAAGTCTAAACAAAAACCAAAGTTTAACCTGGAGTGTGTGGGAGGCTGCGTCAGCGTCTGCGTCAGCGTGTGTGACGGGAGCGCTGCGGTGACGGGCTCACTCGCAATCTTCTGGCTGCGTCGTCTGCGTGACGACATGTACGATGCTACGATAATGTACAAGGCTCCCAGCCCCAACGCCAGGACGTAGGACACCACGTGGTTGTCGCTACGGTCACCGTACGCTCCTTTCACGCACATACTGACCACCAGGCCCACAACTGTCAACCCGTGAGGGAACATCCTCATTACTGCTCGACCCTGCCAAGCTAGTCAGCAGCCACGGATCTGCAGACACTCAACCGCCGCGACTAGACTTTTTTTTTCCTTCACAAACACATGATACTGTCTTTGTCTAGTTTTTTTGCTCAAGCATCCGTCCATATGGTCTTTAGCACAAGTGCTGTTTAATAATCAATTCGGAATTCACTTTTCCTTCTAAATCGAGTGAATTCCCAGATCAGTAGAGCTGCGGGCAGAACAGGCACATCAGTTGGTGGAGTGTCTTCACGATCATACAAGTTTTTGAACACTTGCAGAAACTTGTAATTAAGTCAATTAGTCTTACATCTCCGGCACAATGAGAAGTGCGAAGCCAAGACGACTGGCGAGGTACGCCCACATGTACCGAGGAGGAGTGTTTCAAAAGACACCCTCCACCCACGGCCGCCCCGGACTTACTGCCCTATGCCGGGCCCGCCCTTATCCTCCACTCACTCATAACATAATCCTATATACCGTCTTCATATTTATGAGCTGAGGAATATACACATTTCTTTGTTACTAAACTAAGCACAAGTCTTTTGTTACAATACCGAACACGATATCAACACTGCCCACGGCCTCTATATTTCTCAGACTTGTTATGCAATGGGCCGGTGGAGTGCAGGAAACTACACGTCATCCCAGAATCAGAGGACGAGTATGGTAGTGGTAGTGTTGACTAGGGAAGAGTGCTCTGGCATGTAGCCTATATTGTAACTACAGCCAAGTCTGCTGCGGCACTAGCGATGCGGGAGGGGGTCTTTGTAAGACTTCACTCACCACCCTCTAAACACGTAGTCATCTCTGCTGCTTCTTCATGGTCAACCCATAACCTTAACACCTTGTGCAATCTGTAGCCAGGCCAATAAGACACACCACAAAACTGAAACACAGTCGCGTTACATAATTTTCAGCGTTATAACAAAATAAAGTCTTCTTCTCTAACAATCTGAACTCTTCACATTCAGTGTTACCGCAAATGACCATAAACGTAAATGTGGAAAAAAGGGGGTCTTTATCACAGAGGTGGTAAGTAAAGGGGTGAGGGGGCGCTTGTGTAAAGCTTGGAGTACGGCGTGTTTGGTGTCACCGGCAGTACTGGGCGGGTCTGCCATGTATAGCACGGGGGGCGAGGACTACGCCCTGTGCCCGCACGTGAGGTACGCTAGACGGTACGCCCCACGCCCTTCTCATCGTCTGGCTGCTGACAAACGCACGCACATCAAACACCTCTCGTGCCCACATGACTCTGCCAACACTGAGGGCGGCTCGCTCTCTTGCTGCGACTCCCAACTACATCACCAGAGGAAGCACAGTGACGCCATATCCTCTTCCTACCTCTGACGGGGCAATTGTCATCCCTCACCTTCACGTGCGACACCCAAAGCTACAGATCCTCACTAAAGCACTACTAATAAATCGGGGATCCTGGGCGATTCCTTTCACCTAATGCCTCTGTTCGTCGTGCAGTAAATAGGAACCTGAAAGTTAGGCAACTGTGGTGGAATTGCATCTAAGTGAGGGTCACTAGTTCGGCCTGGTGAGAACCTCGATAAAAGCTTAATATATACATATACATACATGTATTCCTGTCTCCGACAACACAAATTATTATTACTTAAAGACGTTGGTGTGGGCGGCATCATGAAAACAACCTTGAAATCTGTCAAGTTTGTGGAGGTGCAGCAGCAGTCATGCTCAGCCCGCGGCGCGATTATCTTGCAGATTTAGTTTGCAAATATTATTTACCCGACCAGATGCCTTTGTTATTGTCTGGCGAAGAGTAACAATACACACTAAATATCTGAAGAGAATGAGACAAAATGTAGTGGACAAACACGCGCACACGTGTTATAAATCCCGACAAATGCATGACAATGATTATGAAAGTAAATGAGAGACAGAGGAACGTCAGCCAAGAGGGAGGCAACAAAGGTTTTGGGGAAAGAAGACAGGAGCAGATATCAAGTGTAACACAGAAGCCCCCACACAGTAACATCAGTAACGTACGCACGGCTGAAAAATATAACAGCCTATAAGGCCGAAATAGGAGGCATTGAGAACATTATACTCCTCCAATACGGGGTCATTAGCATGAGCGCCACCAGCGAATTCACGCGTTGCAAAACATGAAAATCAATTTGAAACTCGAGAGATTTGCTGCAATCCAGAAAGAAGATATGAAGATAAGTTATGTCGCTACAGGCACTAGACATAATTAGATAAGAGCAGAGGTTACTGCTGATTACATTGAATAATACACTCGTGCAAAATTAACAATAATTGCTTGTTGAATGTGCAAGGAGACAAATTATGTACAGGGAAATAAGGAAATGATCTTTCAGTGTACGAGTGAGCAAATTAAAAGAAGCAGTAGACGAGTGGTTCTAAACCTAAAGATGGAGTAGTCAACTCTATTTTTAGTTTCAGAATCACATATCAAAGGCACTTAAGGAACGGTCATAGTTGTCACAGGCAACAGATAAGTAGGAGATGGGTTCGGAGAATTGTATTCACTATCAGCAAATACTCAAGTTTGTGCGCACATACGTGCATGTCACCACCGCCCCACTTTACAAGAGTGCTCCAATGAGTGGCTATTGGAATCAAAAGGTAAGGCAAAGACCACAGGATCAGGAGACAGGACTCCCGAAGATCAGACCAGCTTCTAGGGAAAGACACCGCCAAAATCTGAAGGAATAAGTGACCCGGGAGTGGACATACACCAAGTCTGGCCAGTACTGAAGTACGCTTCACCAAAATGACCCTTCACTTCGTGAACCACAAATACGAACATTTTAGTCTCTAGGGCTGCATGCAATTTCAAGAAATAACAGAAGAGACATAAGGTCAGTCTAAGAGAATTATTTTTTTAATTACCAGA